GACTTGTCAAGTGAGAAGACTTGGCAGTGGGGAGGAACTAGGTTCCTAAGCTGTGATCTATAGCGCGCTTTAATATAAGTTGGTGCACCGGCGTGGGGAGTCACGCCAGGCATCCGGTGTGATGCCGTCCGTAGATGCATATACGGAGGTTGGGTTCGAGTCTCGACCCTCTAGTGTTTGGGTTTGAGTCCCAAATCACTAGGGCGTGGTGATGGTTTGGAATATGAGGACACTCATATTTCGGTGGTCATGGACTCTCAGTGGGGAGACTGGTTTGGGCACACCGCCAAGCGAGGGATGCCTCGGAGTCGTGATGCACGGTTAGATTGCTTAGTGTGAAAGCTCAGCATATCTAACTTGAACGCTTTGGTGCAAGTGGCACCAAGGACGTGGTGAGTGAGATGGGGACACCTAATCTCAGTTGTTATGAACCCTTGGCCGTAAGGGCTGGCTTGGGTGCACCGCCAAGTGTGGGGGATGCCCCCGGGGTTATAGTCAACAATTTGAAGGTCTAGAAGACCTAGTACCTATTGGCAAACCTGTTAAAGTGCCGAGGTGAGATCACTAGGTGATCTTGTGGCTAAATAAGGACAAAGTCTTTGTTTGGGTTAAGGAATAAGGTTCCTAGTTCAAAGTGTTGATTTGAACTATTGATGATGGTGTGGCTTGGTCAAGGTGACCAAGTGGGAAAAGCACCTTAGGGAAGTAAGCTATGTCATTGCGATGGCATAGTGTGAGCAAGGAAAGTAGTCTCTATAAGAGACCCATGGGAGGGTCACAAGTTGGGCCGTGGATAGAGGCCACAGTAGAAGGTGCTAAAGAGACTTACTAGGGGTGAACACCCTAGTCTTGGCAAAAGCAAGCCTTTGCTATGGAATCAAAGGAATACCTCAAGGAGGGAGGTAGACATTCGGTGTTGCTGGGTGCAACAATCAACGGATAGGAGCAAAAGATGAGTGGCCAGGATAGGGCCGTGGAATCCCTTGGAAGGAATCCAAGTGGCAAAGTTAGGCGAGGAATACTAATGTGTTGGACGCTAACAAATTGCGGGAAAGGAAGTGTGTTTCCAAGGATGGATTCCGAATTGCTCCGATTTGGCAAAAATGGAAGCTCCAAGGGAGGGAGCGGTAAGGTAGCCAAATGATAAAGCCATGGACAGCCCTAGCACAAAGTATGATAAATGGAACTTAGTGCCCAAGGTGGCGCGAAATAGAAGAGAGGATGATGGTGCCCTCAAGTAATGAACTTCCTAGGATGGGGAAGTGGAGTTGCACAATCGGTGCAATGCAAGGTGTTGGAGACACCTAGGAAATTGACTTCCAAAAGTCAAAAGGGTAAAAGTTTCAAGGTGCAAAACGTTCAATAGATGGAAATTAAAACTACTCTAGAAGGAGTAGTGGGATTGACTTAGAGGAGGGTCTCTAAGAGGTTTAGCGGGAACTAAACCAATAAAAGGAGAAAACCACTACATGTGGTCCAATCAGTCTCTAAGTTGGAGAGACTACCCTCCTTAGAGGATGGGCAAGGCATGGTGAGCCTTTGGTGTCAAACCATTGAGGAATATGCAAAAGGCATGGTGAGCCTTCAATGTCAAACCCTTGACAAATATTGGCTCAAGGATGGAAATGGTGACACATGCGGGTGTTACTTTATAAAATGGTTTACCGTTCGATGAGGATATCGAACTTCGTCTATGGGTGGTGGAGTTGTGAGACACAAAGTCTCTAGGCCCCAGAGTGGAGCTGGAGGGGTGCCACGTGGTAGTGGCCGAAGCGAAAGCCAAACAAGCGTAAAACGTTTGGACTAAAAGCTCCGACTTGAAAGATTGAGAGCGGGAGTGGAACTCCCAACAAAGTGTTCAAGGAACGAGCACGAAGCGAGCAATAAGCGAGGCTCCAAAAAGGGACCCAAAGCGACCAACACATGACACGTGGAAGTGTCCGAGATGGACCCGAGATGGGACCCGAGATGGACCCGAGACAGAGTCCGAGGTGGACCCGAGACGGAGTCCGAGGTGGAGTCCGAGATGGAGTCCGAGATGGACCCGAGATGGATCCGAGTTGGAGTCCGAGATGGTGTCCGAGATGGAGTCCGAGATGGACCTGAGATGGACTTGAGATGGGACCCGAGATGGACCCGAGACGGAGTCCGAAGTGGACCCGAGACGGAGTCCGAGGTCGAGTCCGAGATGGAGTCCGAGATGGACCCGAGATGGAGTCCGAGATGGAGTCCGAGTTGGAGTCCGAGATGGACCCGAGATGGACCCGAGATGGAGTCCAAAGTCGAGATCGGGACCAAGACCGAGACCGGGACCGAGACCGAGACCGAGACCGAGATCGGGACCGAGACCGAGACCGAGGCCGAGCCCAAGTCCGAGTCCGAGTCCGAGTCCGAGTCCGAGTCCGAGTCCGAGTCCGAGTCCGGAGCCTGAGAGGGTGAAAGCCCAAAGCGTTCGTCTCCCAGACCCTGGGGGGTTTGGTGAGCTCCAAAAGTATAGTAGGGGGAGGACTGCAGTGGAGCCAGTTTGGCCAGGAAAGGCCAGTTTGGCCCAGGAAGGCCGGACCCAGTGTTGGGTGATGAGCTGCTCACTGGGAAGTCCAAGACTAGAGTGAACACGGATCGACAAGCAGGGTAGCTTGGTGAAGTGTTCAAGAGCCGGCTCTAGTTCCCCCGGGAGATCGACTGGCCGATGCTCCCAGTCCAAGTGTGGGTGGCACTACCTACTTGGATACCAGGCGTGGCTCAACGGAACCTCGCTCTAAGCCCATGGCTAGAGCACCTAAAGGCGAAAGGTGGGGAGAGTACCCAAGTGGCTCGCGTAAGGCCACGGTGTTCCGAAATGGTGTCCCAAAGTCCCAAACTGTGGAAAGGAAGAGGGGTAGCCCTCTGGTGGGGTGACCAAGGACACAGTCACACAGTGAGGAAGTCCTCGAGGATAGTGGGACTTAGTGGTCGGGCCGGTGGGCCTTGACCCAGTGGCAGTGTTGGCGAACACAGCCAAGGACAAAAAGGGACTTGGTGGGGACCGGAACAGAGATATTGGGGAAGGCTATTCCCCATGTCTGTAGGCATCCTAAGGATGTTAAGGAGTGGATCTGGGATGATCCCTCATGGACGAATGACCCAGTCTTTGAGAGACGGGATTGGAACGTAGGTGGTGTTGGACCACCAGGGTGACCAAGGTAATTGGGCATGGCCTTAGCGTAACAGGCCAATACATCGGTGGTACCTTGGGGTGTCGATCATGGGATCGGACATGTGGAGCACTTGGACCAAGTGCTAAGGTTGAGTGGCATGGATGCCATTTTCGGGGCTAGCAAGCCCCAAGTCCTGAGTTGGACTTATGGAGGTTGTGAATGAGACTCCTCCAAGTGGTTGGAGGTGTGGTTAAGTGACTAAAGTAGAATGGAAAAATTAGTCGCTTACAGCAAGTAAATGCATAAGTCCAACAAGATTTTGACGAAGTGTTAGCCACAACATTCCTAGCTTGATCCACTTCGACATATTTGGCTCCGCACGAAGTAAGAGGCTTCAGAAATGGACGCCAAATTGCATTACCGACTCAGATGGCCCTTAACGAAGATAATGTAATTGTTGGAAAGCATCATTATAATCGTTAGCATTTTAAATGAGCATTTGAAGACATCCAAAAGAACACTCTAATCCCCATGAGTGGCTACACTTAAACCATTGTACAATTGCAGTGTTGTCCTTTGGAAACACATGGGAAACTTACGTAAACATCAAACATTATCCTAAGAATGATATGTGGTAATCACTGTGAAGTGATCAAATCAATAGTACACATCATCCTTAGGATTCCCACAAAAGAACTCTGGCCGAACGCAAGGATTGGCACCAAGAGTAGGAGGAGCTATACCACGTGTTATGAATGCCACGATTAACTGAGTTTGGTTGTTTAATTGCAATTGCATAGCATTAAACAATTGCACTAATTGCTACTCCAAAGTCAAAGGAGGAAAAGACTATTACTCTGCCATGAAAATAAATGAAAAGGAAAGAGTAAAAGAAGATAAATGAAAAGAAAAAACTAGAAGAAAAAAGAGATTTAAACAATGGAAAAGCTAAATCTAAACTAAAATCTTGAAAGGAAAGAATAAAAGAAAGGAAATGGAAAAAGTTAGATTTAAACAATACAAAAGCTAAATCTAAACCAAAATCCCAAATTTAAGCATTTTTCAGGGACAATGAAAAGTGTCTTTCACCTCCACTAATGTGAGTGCATAGAATATGCATATCAATTAGCTCAAAAACTTTAATTTATATACAGAAGTGAGTGGTCCGGATTGAAACAAATTTGATAGCTACCAAAATCTTATTATGTTAATATTAGTATACGGCATCATAGCCGTACATTTGGACCTAACAAAACAAATTTATATATTTATACTTAAATCATTTGCTCTTATAAACTTTTGCATATATAGAAACCCTTTACTAATTTAGATGATACATTAATAACTTGAGTGATGTCATACTTTGACATGATAAATTTAGTGAATAATTTTTTACTAAATAAAGTTTTAATGATTAATTTAATAGATAATTGTTTGATGATTTAGTGAATTATTTGGATGTTTGGTGGATTATTTGTCATTCATCCTTATGAATGTGTGTGACTGATTAACCAAATTAAATTCACACAAATCCATGATGATACTTTTGTAACATTATGTTTTCCATAAATAAATATTATACAATTTATTTCATTTTGTGGGAAAGTTTTCCAAGAGAAATATTATATAAACTACTTATAAACTACTTAAACTATATTATATTTAATTTTTTAAGAAAGTGATTGTTCTTAATTTAAAATTTTTTATTACTTCCCAACTAAATCATATCAACTTCATTAATTTAGTCCTTAATTTGAAAATTTGAATAAATGAATCAACAAATTTTAAAATTTTTGAAAATTAAAGCAGCAAATTGTGACTGGTTGTGGAACATCTACTATTGGATATAAACAGACATGGGAAATGCTTCGTGACGAATGTGCTAGTTTCCTTGACTCATGTAAGACATTGTCTACAGCTAAAGTTGCTCACGCTCGGGTCAAGCCCTTCCTCAAGCCCAGCGATGTTTTCATGCACAACAAGCTGATCAAAATGTATGCGGAGTGCAAGGGAGCTGTTGAGGCGCTCCAAATCTTCAATGCCATCCAACACAAGAATTCCTTCTCTTGGGAGTTCATGTTGTTGGCATACACACGCAGCGGCCATCTAGACCATGCTAAGAGATTCTTTGGTGCAATCCCAGAGCCGAGCTTGATCGCGTGGAACATTTTGGTCGTCGCGCTTACCCAAACAGGGAATTTGCTCGACGCCAAAGCAGTTTTTGACAAAATGCCCGAGAGGGATTTGATCTCGTGGGCGAGCCTAGTTATTTTACAGGCGAAGCACGGGCTTCTTGAAGAAGCCAGCGAAACGTTTTCCAAGATGCCAGAAAAGAATCTGGCATCTTGGACGGCCGTTCTCTTGGCATATGCCCAACAAGGATATATAGAGGAAGCTAGAGCAATCTTTGACGATATTCCCCAGCGTGACCTAGTAACATGGACTGCCATTCTAGCTGCATATTCTCAAAACAAAGACTTTGAGGAGGCCAAAGAAATTTTTGATGAGATGCCAGAGAGGGATTTGCCAGCATGGAACGCCATGCTAACAGCATATGCCCACAACGGGCATCTGGAAGATGCAAAAGGGATATTTTGTGAGATGCCACTCAGAAACATAGTGTCGTGGACTATGATGGTCACTGTGCTTGGTCAAAATGGGGACGTCGACGACGCCAAATCTACATTTGATTCTATGCCACAATGGAATCTCTTTACATGGAATGCGCTTCTTACAGCATATGCCCAAAACAGTCTTCTCGAAGATGCCGAGCGAGTGTTTCACGACATGCCTGTACAGAATCTGGTATCTCAAACTTCCATGGTATCGGCATATGCTGGGAAAGGCGACATGTCCCAGGCTAGGAAGCATTTTGACAGCATGCCGGAAAGGAACCTTCTCTCGTGGAACTCACTTCTTTTCGGATATGCCCAGGTAGGGAATATTTCTCATGCTAAGCAAGTGTTCGACCAGATGCCTCAAAGAGACGTGATTTCGTGCACGGCTATGCTTTCCGCATATTCGTTAAACAATGACGTAAAGCTAGCGAAGGAAACCTTTGAGAAAATGCCCAGATGGAATTTAGTGTCCTTGAACATTATGCTGTCCGCATATACCCAAGCTGGGCAACTGGAAAATGCCAAGTGCTTGTTTGATTCTCTCCCCCAAAGAAATGTGGTATCCTGGGATACGATGCTGGCGGCATATTCTCAGGCCGGGTATCTGGAAGAGGCCCAGAGGGTGTTCGATTCCATGCCCCAACACATCCAGGTCTCTTGGAACACGCTCCTTTCCTCGTTTACTCACTGTGGCCTTCTAGAGCGAGCACTCATCCTTCTCTATGAGATGCCGGAGCGCGATTCGATCACTTGGAACACCATGATCGTTGCATTTGCGCTGAGAGGAAATCTCCCGCGCGCTTGCAAGATCTTCAATGGAATGGAAGAGCAAAGCCTCGCGTCATGGAGCGCAATGCTGGTTGGATACTCGCACAGTGGAAATCTCTCCCAGGCAATCGACCTGAGCGACGAGATGAAGATCAGGGGCGTACCTTTCGACGAATCTTGCTTCGTGTCTCTCCTAGTTGCTTGCAGCCGCGCCGGGAAGCCAGATCTTGGGAAGTCCTACTTCTCAGGCATGGCGGCGGATTTCGATCTCCAGGCCGGGAAGCAACACTACAGCTGCCTGATCGATCTGCTGGGCCGATCGGGACACCTGGAAGAATCGCTGGAGCTGGTGTCGCGAATGCCATTCGTGCCCGATCTGGTGGATTGGAGGAGCCTGCTCGCTGCTTGCCGGAGCCATTGCGATCGAGCGAGTGGATCTCGAGTGCTGGAACAAATGCTGGAAATTTGCCCTCGCGACTCCTCCGCCTACGTGCTCCTCTCGAACACCATCAAAGGTGGGATGGAATTGGCGCGAGATTTAAATTAGCGGTAAAAACCTGTTGAGTAAAAAGGATTTTTCAGCTGGATTCGTGCAATCACGTTTTGGCATTGTCTCGAGATCTTGACGTCCATCTACCACCGGATCGCGGCTTTTTTGAAGGATATTCGGGGCCGAGCTGGCAGCATCCTAGCCACGAGCAAATGATCACTGTGCATTGGTCCACGTGTCTCTCGTACAGGCTTTTCACATTCTTACGAGGCATTGGGGTTTAGATAGCTCGCTCATTCCAGGGGAGGAGGAAGATCGATCCACAATCGCCATGGCTGCTGGGACTGGGCCATTCGAGGAGATCATCGACGGCGGCGTCTACAAGTACTACGCGGATGGCGAGTGGAGGACATCGTCGTCGGGCAAATCGGTCACGATTTACAACCCCTCCACCCGGGAGGCGCAGTACAAGGTCCAAGGTGGGATTATGGCTCTTGCTGGTGAGAATTTCGCTCGATCTGTGTGGGATCTCGCGCAGCATGCACGCAAGAAGAGGTAAACAAGGCGATTGACAGCGCCAAGGCGGCGCAAAAGCTGTGGGCAAAGGTACCGCTGTGGAAGCGCGCGGAGGCGCTCCACAAGGCGGCGGCGCTGCTCAAGGAGCTCAAGGATCCCATCGCCGAGTGCCTGGTGAAGGAAATCGCCAAGCCTGCCAAGGATGCGGTCTCGGAGGTATGAATCTATACTACTTTCTACCTTTGTTTTTTGCTGGATCTCGTGATACACAATTGTTTATATGAATACCATCCACATTGTTTTCGTGGCTACAGGTGGTTCGATCTGGAGATCTCATTTCATACACCGCGGAAGAGGGTGTGAGGATTTTGGCGGAGGGCAAGTTTCTAGTCTCTGACAGTTTCCCGGGCAATGACAGGACTAAGTTATGTCTCACTTCAAAGGTGGGAAATAGCTTTTTTTTCTTCCTCAATGAGGTTGGTTGTTGTGTACTTATATGTTTAACTGGCAGATCCCTCTTGGAGTTGTCCTGGCCATCCCTCCATTTAATTATCCGGTGAATCTCGCAGTGTCTAAGATCGCTCCCGCTTTGATCGCTGGAAATGCTATCGTGCTGAAGCCGCCCACGCAAGGGGCTGTTGCCGGCTTGCACACCGTGCAATGCTTCCATCGAGCTGGATTCCCGAAGGGCTTGATAAGCTGTATAACAGGAAAGGGCTCGGAAATAGGCGACTTTTTAACAATGCATCCTGGGGTCCATTGTATAAGGTATGTCTTTGATACTGTCTTCGTGTTCTGGACTGAACGGTGTTCTTTTTTGTGTAAAGCTTTACAGGTGGTGACACTGGTATCGCCATTTCCAAAAAAGCCGGGATGATTCCACTCCAGATGGAGCTCGGTGGAAAAGATGCTTGCATTGTTCTAGATGATGCTGACATTGATCTTGCTGCTGCTAACGTTGTGAAAGGCGGCTTCTCTTACAGGTGTTCTTGACGTCGTCGACTTGTTTTTTACTAACTTTCTAACTCTCTGGCAGTGGCCAACGTTGTACCGCTGTGAAAGTAGTGCTCGTCATGGAATCCGTGGCCGACGATCTTGTCTCCAAGGTGAATGCGAAGATTGCAAAGCTGAAAGTAGGTGCGCCTGAAGATGACTGCGACATTACTGCTGTGGTGACCGAATCGTCTGCGAACTTTATCGAAGGACTCGTGAAGGATGCAAAAGAAAAGGGTGCAACGTTCTGTCAGGTTTGTTTGCATCTCTCCTTACCATTGCCAATTCTTAACCGAGTTCCTTCGTTTCTTTGCCTGTGTAGGAATACAAGAGGGAAGGCAACCTCATATGGCCATTGCTGCTGGACCACGTTAGACCCGACATGCGAATAGCCTGGGAAGAGCCATTCGGTCCTATTGTGCCTGTCATCCGGATAAGCAGCGTGGAAGAAGGAATCCACCACTGCAATGCGAGCAACTTTGCGCTTCAGGTACCTACAGCTTTTCTACATTGATCTCACCCCAATCAACATGATTTCGCAGGGATGCGTCTTCACCCGGGACGTAAACAAGGCGATGATGATAAGCGACGCAATGGAAACCGGAACCGTGCAAATCAATTCTGCCCCTGCCCGTGGTCCCGATCACTTCCCCTTCCAGGTAAGCAACAGGAGCCACGAAAGGAAGTTAAAAAAGAAAACTCACACGACTTTTTGGCGTGGCAGGGACTCCGAGACAGTGGCATCGGCTCTCAAGGTGTCACAAACAGCATCGCGATGATGACCAAGATAAAGACCACGGTCATCAACCTCCCGGCTCCATCATACTCCATGGGTTGATCGATCGACTCGATCAACTCGATCGAGCGAGCGAGCAAGGGGAGAGTCTGATCGATCCGAGATCTTGATATGCTGAGAAATACTCACATAACTCACTCAGGTTGCTAAATGTTGCCTAGATAATGATGAACAATGTGTTGGTTTTCCTGGCTATGGAACGCGTTGACTATTTTTCTGGGCAGTAACAGAACGCGCGTTGACAATTTCCAGGCCAGCGGATTTTTTTAAAATTAAAAATCTCTGAAAGAATATTTTCGGGAATCTTTGGTGAATTCAAATGTTGCGTCTTTCTTGGATTGGTTGGTGCGACGATTAGTGGTAGTGACAAACTTTGCAGGTAAGAAAAATCTGAGCGCATTGAATGGGGGAGTGAAAGGGGCGGGAGACGGTCAACAACGATCAACGGGATGAGTCAACGCGGAGGGGAGGGGGGAGTCAACGCCCGGATTTCCAAGCCCGTCTCGCAGCACATCGCTTTGGCGATAAATAGGGTTTCTTTCCAAGGTGGATCCATCCACGGCCAGCACAGAGCCTTGTTCTCGCGAATTGCATTGCATTGCCGTGCACTGTGCGCTTCTTCCCCCTTTTGCTGTGCTGGGCCTCGCTGTGCTTGCTTTGTTTTATAATTTGGTGGGTCTACCACTCCACATTCTTCTCTCATCGATCGCGTCTCTCTCCCTCTCTCTCTCGCGCGCCCGGCTCTCCATTTGGCCCTCTTCTCGGCCCCCTTTTCTTTCTTGGAGTTCTTGAGCTTTAACGCCCCGATCATTGCCAGGAGAGTTCTTGGAGGAAAGCAGCGAGGACGCGCGAGAGTTTGCGTTGATGGGTTGCACGACCCACAAGCCCACCACGACCAATTCCCCTCTCCGGCAGCAGCAGAGGAGCGAATCGGTGCTGGAGAAGCGGGCAGTCGTCAAGGAGGTGACCGTGTCCACTGCTTCGGCTTCGTCTTCCGGCGATCACCCTTCTTCCTCCTCATCCACGCAAGCCGGCGATGGCAAGAAGAAGAAGATCTGGGTTACCATCAAGGAGCAGTACGAGCTCGTCGAGTACCAAGCATTGCCCGATTATCTGCGTGACAACGAGTACATCCTCAAGTACTATCGCGCCGACTGGCCGCTCAAGCACACGCTGCTTAGCATCTTCTCCGTCCACAACGAGACCCTCAACATCTGGACGTAAGTTTTCCCCCTCCTGTTCCTGTTCTTCCCGATGGTGGAAAAGGAGCATTTTGGTGGAGCTTCTCCACTTCTTCCGCTTTTTTCGATCGCTGTTGCTCAGAGCTTCCTCTCGACTGCGATGCAGGCACTTGGTCGGCTTCGCCATCTTCCTCGCCCTCACAATCTACGCAGCTGTCAACGTGAACGCGCCCAGCAGCAACTGGGAGAGGCTCCCTAGCGTGCCGAAGTTTAACAAGCTCCAGGAGGAACTCGTGATGAGCGGCAGCTCGTCTCTGTCGCTGCTCATGCCGAGAAGTAGCAGCAGCAGCAGCGTCTTCCACCAGCGGCCAGGACTTAATGCCTCACACGTAATCCTGGTAAGTTTCCAACTTCGATGGCTCGATCCTGAATAGAACTGAACTGACCACCTTTGTCACTTCACCAGGACGAATCAATCGCGGCAGGCGTCCCAGTAGCACCAGCCGAGTTTGCGCGATGGCCATTCTTCGTCTTCCTCCTGGGAGCCATGACGTGCCTGCTAACCAGCAGCACCTCCCACCTCCTCTCCTGCCACTCGAGGAGCGTCTCCTCGCTAATGTGGAGGCTCGACTACGCCGGCATCGCAGTGATGATCGCTACGTCCTTCTATCCGCCAATCTACTACGTCTTCCACTGTCAGCCGCTCTGGCAATTCGTCTACCTCGCCGGGATCACCCTGTTTGGAATCGGCGCGGTCTTCGTTACCGTCATCCCCTGCCTCCACTCTCCCAAGTTCCGAATCTTTAGAACCATGCTCTTCGTCTCCATGGGACTGTCCGGAGTGATACCAGGAGCTCATGCGGTCGTCCAGAACTGGAACATGCCGATGTGCTTCGTCGTCCTGGGATACGAGCTCGCCATGGTGGTCTTCTACCTCTCCGGGACACTTGTCTACGCTGCCAGGATTCCCGAAAGGTGGAAGCCGGGGTTCTTCGACATTGCCGGACACAGCCACCAGATATTTCACGTCATGGTTATCCTGGGTGCTTATGCTCACTACAAGGCCGCGCTCGTTGTGATGGAGTGGCGAGCTAGCACCATTGGTTGCTGAGAGAGGACAAGTTTGTACACCACCGACAGCCACCATTCTTTTCAATACAAACGTATTGAGATTGCTCGTCAATGTGTCACAAACCAGAACCACATATGTCGAGAGAAAAATCTATGCAGTCGTTGTGATTTTACCTGTAAGTCAGTGCAGCAGCAACTAGCATTGCGTTTGTTAATGAAGCAAAGATAAAGCAAGAAAAGAAAAAAAGAGATGTTACCAGAAAGAACTTTACGGCTGCCTGATTGAGGATCGCATAAGTTAGTGGATGCTTTGCCGTTTTCACACTGCTCTCGTCTTGTTGGATTGGATTCCCTTCGAGCCATAGTACTGCCCTGTTGTCTGCTTTGAGAACTCAGCAAACGTACAACCTTTCTTCCATCTCGTCTCCAGAGGTGGTATCACACTGATCCTGTTATCCCCGCTGCCTGTTTCGTCACCGTCTTCCAGTGCGACTTGACAAGAGAGGGCCTTATCCCATGCAGGTTGCAAAAATACTACAAACGTCTCTCTGCTGGCTTCCGGGTCGAGCTGGGGCTTCACGACACAATGAGCGGTTGCGCGAAGCTTTCCACCAGAGAAAATCTGCGCAGCTTCTCCCACCTGGACCAAAACACTGCCATCCGGTATATTCACTGCAGTTACTGATCCCGTCCAACTATCCATCGCAACCAACGAGGAATGACTCTGTCCTACAGATCCAGAAGCGTTGATATACACCGGTGCTGTCAATACTGTCAACACTCCGTAGTCATAATGCCACTGTTGCCAAAACTCTGAGCCACTCAACTCCCTCTGAGCTGGATCCGGTCGAGGAAGCCTTTCACATTCAGAATGGTAGTGAATGAGCCGGCCTTTAGCTGTCTGAGAGCCCAGAATTGTTTTCTCAAGTTGCAGTCCCGGGAGAGCTGTGTCGCAGACCCGAGCAACTCTGACTCCCACGTCTATTAGCCTGTAGCCGAGATGCCTGAACAACTCACCCGTCTTGAGTACGAGCTGATCGGGTGTCTGGTCGGTCTCGCTACGAGAAACTGGAAGCTGGGTGACAAAAGATGATACAAGTCTGTCCTTTCGCTTTAGTGGCACATCTGATCCCAGGAGATTCTCCTACGAAGGAAGGAAAACCAGAAGATCATAAACGTTAGAAAATGAACGTTATTACCTTGAGCACTGACTTCCGATCTAAGTCGGGCATTAGCGCCAAAGTTCGAGCCTGAGGAAGAAGTACGCTGCGGAGGTACTCCAAGCCAGGAACGTTACGTACCGCAATCATCCCTGCACCTCCTAATGCTCTAACGACACGCTCCCTGACCCCTACATCACTTGCCGCAGCTTCCAGCATCACGTAGTCGACGATCTCGAGGGAGGCCATCAAAAGAACCCTAAGCCACAGCCTCTACGATGTGTATGGCCTATCTATCGTAGCCCATTCGAACAGCTGCTCGTACTTTGCCGCTGCTCGATCCCAAGAGTAGTCTTGAGACATAGCTCTGCGCATTATGCCCTTCCATGAATCTTTGTGGTGCCGGTATGTACCAATGGCCGTCCACAAAACCTGTAAAGTTGAGAAGTGTTGAGTTGCTTGTTTATCTTTGGAAGCGACGCATGCGTACGTACCCCCAGCATTGCGTCCTTTGTGCAAGGATAGAACGTCCAGCTGCAGCGGTGAATATAAGCACTTCTAAGTTTTAGACATACACTAGAGCTTACCCCGTCCCAGCACCTTGGCCATTGTTTGCAAACGGATGGAAGTCTTCCACAGTATCCTGATAAAAAGGACAAGACAAGTTAGAGAGCTTAAAAACTGTAACAAGAGCTTACTCGCAGTCCGCCAGTACAATGCACAACAGGTATCGTGCCATATCTCATGGCATAGAGTTGAGTCAATCCACACGGCTCAAATCTTGAAGGCATCACAAGGATGTCGCACCTGCAAAAAGCCACGCACAAGAATATTGTTAGCTCCTGCAAGGAGACCGCTTTCAGGTACCCCGCGATAAGGCGATGAGTAAGAGGTACATTGAAGCCAACCCAGCCTCGAAACTTGTCCCTGTAATGCGACTCGGCCCATTGCATCCACGATTCCATGGCAGCATCGCCAGAACCAAGCATTACCTGATTTTAGATAGAAAAACATGAGTAGATTCTTAAGGAGAAATTAGACTAGCTACCATTTGTATATCGTCTGTCATCAATGCTGGTAGAGCTGCTTGTAGAAGGTCAGGACCTTTTTGAAAGTCAAGCCGGCCAATGAATCCAATCTGGCAGCATTTGAAATTTTTATCAGAGATGCTACCGCAAAAACACTCAACGTAACACATACTTACAAGAGGAACATCGGGACGAACGGCCAGGCCCAGTTCCTTCTGAAAGCTTGCCTTGCACGCAGCCTATACAAACAATAGCTGAAATTAACGACTCCACAAACTAATCAATGTACCTTTCCAGAAAGATTTTGAAAGGAGTAGTGAGCAGCGATTTGTTTGTCACAAGTAGGATCCCATTCCGCCATGTTAATGCCGTTGGTGATACCTGAATTGAACACAGTCTAAGAAAATGCACAAACATCACGTACAAACAGTACCGCTAATGACAATTTTTCGACTACGTAATAGCCCATCAAGACCATATCCTCCTTCAGACGTGGTTATTTCCCAGGCATAACCCTTCAACATGTGCTCCAGGCAAATTAGTCTCAAACAATGGAAATAACCAACCTCGCTAACGGTGACAATCCGATCAGCTGTCACAAGTCCACCTTTTAGATGATTTACAGCTTCCCCCTTGTCAAAGGCATGCTTTCTGGCCCAGGTTGGGAAAACCCACTCCAGAGCTCCATACCATTCAGGAGGAAGTCCGAGTTGAGCGTACGTCGTCCCTGGTTCACATCCCTATCATGACAAAAGCAAAGAAAAGATCGACTTAACAACAATGCGACTTATAGACAACACCTGATGAGTAATGTTGTGAATAACCACTATCGAACGAGCTCCTAGATACACCCCGTGACGACGATATTTAGCAGCTAGCAGACTGAAAAGATAAATGCCTGTGAGAACTAACCAAAAATGTGGAAGTGAAGAAAATACATACACTGGCACAAGGCTTGCATGCCAATCGTTTGCAAGAAAAATGCAGTTGTCTCCGTAGATGTAGCCTCCCAACGGAAGAACAAGAGGAGCTTCACACGCGGCATAGCAAAGTAGCGTGTACCGAAACTGTATCAAGGCAACTGATACTCACTTCTTTAGTTTCGTGACATAAAAAACCAGCGAAAAGAACTGGAAACCTGGTTGTCTCCGAAAGCACCACGACCATCGCCGTATGGATTCCCTGGTCTGTGATAGCAACAATGGTCGACAAAGACCTGGAGAAGCACAAGCCAGGGAAGTTAGTTCATATGAGAAAAGAAAAGAATCGATTACCCAGTCAACACCGTCTTTGTACTCGTGAAAGAACGCAACTTCATGCTGTCCGCTGAAGCAGCCAATTCTGATACGACACTGAGCATCGTAAGCCCCAGAGTATCTATGATCCGTCACACCATTCATATAACGGGGAGAAACCACCATAACCCGATGGCCACGAGCAGCAAGTACCACAGGCAGTGAACCGCAGACATCACTCAAACCGCCAACCTTCGAGTAAGGAGCGACTTCGGCAGCAACAAAGACAATGTTATATGTCTTTCGAGCCTGTTGCTTGGATTTCCTGGTGCCGGCTTGAATTTGATGGCCTTTGTCATCCTTTGTTCCCTCGGAAGATGGCGGAACTAGATCGCTCACTGTTTGATCCATTGAGTCAGTATAGAAACCAGAAAAGTCGTAAGTTCTAGCTTTACCTGTGGCAGTCGCGGACGGATCGATGATCGTGATAGGGGGCAGATCTTCCTTCTGAAGAGCCTGCTTGCTCTGCAGTAGCATCTTCAAGTCGGGTACATCTCCAGAAAGGAGATCGTTTTGGAGGATGGTGTCATTGGTTCCAAAGGAAAAAATCCGCTTGGACCTCCAGTTTGGCGAAGAATGAGCGCGCTGGGATTTCTTTCTCTCCTTCCTCGACCTGATGCTCCCAAACGCCGGCTGGTGCGTGACAAACGACACGGAAGAATCGGCGACCTTCCTCCCATTCGTCACGGTCGAGCAAGACGATGCAAATCCGCTACTAGACGCTAGCAATGACTCGAGCGTCGACCAGTTCCAGAGAGCCATACCCTGTCAGGCCTCGATCCTCCTCTCTCCTTGCTCTACCTTCTTGCTAGCATTGCCTTCACCTTGGCGACCGCTCGGCGCGCATGTAGGATCGCAGCGCCACGCTACAGCGATCAGTCGCCACGGATCAAGAAATATTGCCGCGCTCACAGAGAAGAGAGGCATCAAGGGTTTCTCTTTTGCTGAGGTGTAAGCATATCCTCCAATGCGGGGGGTTCCAACGTGATCGTTTCATTTTATTCGTTAAAACTAGGCTGGCTTGCGCGTCCTCCGTCTATCCAAGCCATCACTATTGTTTTTCTTCAACATCGCGGTCTCGAGGCATGAAATCAGTGACTTTGGGTCGAAAATCGTCCCTGATTTCTCGTCTTGAATCGAATCTACTACCACCTGCGAGAAACAAAAAGAGAAAACGTGAGCTCGAGTTCTAAGCAACATAAAATTTCCTTCTTACCACTTCAGTGATTCCCAAGGCCGCTAGTTGCTCTCTATCCACGGAAATGCTTCCATTCTCTGGCACCAGCAGAGTGTTGATATAAGCCGTCGGCTGCGAAACAAATACCGGGCTAGCATCGAAAAAACATGAACTTGGAGACTTACTGGATTGTCGAGCGTGAACTGTGGATCACCGTATTTACGATTCAATGCGTCGCATATTGCGATGATGAAGTCCGAGGCGGACATGCCAGCGGTTTCTCGATCGTGAGAACCATTCAGCAAGAGAAGCTGTTCATGACGGCATCACAAAATCAGAAAAAATTAAAAATTAAAATTAAAATTAAAAAAATATCTTACCTTGGGACATGTCTGTTTCGAAATGCTTTCTCCTACGTCACGAAGAACCTAGTTCAAAGGTTACTAGATTAGCATTCCAGGCAGAGAACGCTGGGTTAGGCCAGACCATTAAGAGTTGAGGAAATGCGAGTTACCAGTAACGGACATATTGACGTGTAGAGGGAACCCATGCCATACACAACTGCTTCTACATCGCTTATACGCTTCAAAACTTCAGGATTTACGCAGGGAAATACCTGAAAGATTTACTTGCGGTCCTAATCAGTGTCACCAGAGGCTATTTACCTCGTGTGAAGCGTTTGCGCCGTCAGAAGACATGTAAAAAATACGTTTGATCGGGGAAGGAAGCGGAGGTGTGGAATCCCTGCCCTGCAAGCGTCATGAATTCACAAAATTGATGATCAAGTGAAAGAAGTGAGAGCCTCACCTTGTCAACAACATGACAGTCGTCCCCTCCACCTTCACCGACGCAATTTCTCTTGATTGGATGCGAAATTTCATTCTGTCCCCTCACAAACGTACCATCCTGCAACAAGAGTAAATTCAAAGAGTCCAGCGGGAAGAACGTACTTAAAAGCAAAACTCACGTATAGCTCACATCCAAGAGTAACCCTGTCGTTGGTAGAAATCGCAGGCAGAACAATGCTATCCACGGGAATCTTCGAGACACGGGAATAAAGAAAAATAGCCGCGTCTAGGGACTGGATAAAAATTCTAGCCCCTGCAAAGAAAAAATTTCCTATGCTGCAAAGAGATAACAATTACGACAAGCTGTCTAAAAATCTTAAACATGCCTTCCATTTCCAAAAGAGAACTTTTTTGTGGAATGCATGAGCAACTACAAGGTAGAAATGAGTCAGTCGTACAGAAGGAAATAAACCAATTTCACTCATAAGAGCTACCTGACTTTGAAAATACACAAGAAAAGCACGGATAGTTTCTCTGTACGGCTCCGACACTTCGTTCCACAGCTCATGCTCACCTTCAACTATTTTGTACCTGAAAAGACCAAATTTTTTTCGTCAGACAGTAAGAAAATGGCCATACCACTCCGCTTTTGCGTCCGAGCTATTCACTGGCAAGCGGTAGCCAAGCAAACGCTTTACAGCCAATGCCTCAGAACAACTCTCATCGGAAAGCCTCAAGCACCTCGATCGGATATCACCAAGCGCCGGACCGCCTGAAACGCAATTGAATCATTCACTTAGCACAAACAGATTGCCCAAAACTCACATGCAAGAGCTAACCGAGTACACGAAGTATTTCGGACGTGCTCCCTCCATCGTCGGAGACTGGAAGTACGTGTGTGACATTGGTGGTCAGCCTCTTGAGCTCTTCTACAACACCATTGAACGCAGTGCCTCCTGGTATTCACAAAGAAGAGAAAATAGGAAGAACTCCCAAACTGCAGCTAATCAACGTAAAAGACTTACGAGCACAAGAAAACAAACCAAGCACAGCCACAAGCTAAAAGTTTGCTACTTGGCATCAACAGAGCAAAAGATCGAAAGAGAAAAGAGCGAATCATACCTGAGAAGACAAGCAGTGAAGGATTCTTTTTGCTCTCCTTGCTATCCAAGTTCCCATCCTCCATGGAATTGGAAGTTGCAGGCTCCAAGCTGCAAGCAATCACTGAAGGAGCCGGAGGATAGCCCCTCGCCGAATACAAGAGCCTGCCCTCTGGATTGGCATTGCTACGCGGGCCGGGCTCGCTGCGAGGCCGGATCTTGTTAGGCGCGCTCCTCCCCGGCGGCTGCTTACCGGAGGGGGATTGCTGCTCCAAGCTCCGCCTCACAGCCGCTACTGCCGCATACCCTAAAACCTGCTTTTTCCTCAAGTCCTGTGTTGTCGTTGCCTTGCCCGTCTTGGCTCTCGGCGGCGAAGAAGAATTCACTGGACCGATATTTCGCAACCCCCTGCTCACACTCCCGCCATGGGCAGCGCCACTAGGTCGAGCATCGCTGCTAATGCCGCCGCCACTCCTCCTGCCGCCGCCGCTGTGAATCCTGGGACTGGGAGCAGCCGCATTCCCGGGCGCATCATTAGGGTTGGGGCTCCTGATCGCGGCGCCCAGCTTGAGCCCCACGCTGGCGCCGGGCATCGTTGGTGCCCGCGAAGAGATCATACATTCATCCTTTCGTCCACGCCTTGGGCGGCAACTAGATCCCGGAAAAGCCTCTTTAACCTCCGCCGTCGGATCCCCGAATCGGACGGTTGTCGCCGCGTCGCTGTCAGATGAATCAGACGGTTTTTTTGCTCGGATTCCGTTATGCCCAGCATATGCCATCCCCGGGAATATCCGAGAGCATCGTACAAAAACAAGTAGAATGCAAATCCATCCAAACCAAAGAACTATGAAAAAAGAAGAGAAAACTTCCTCCTGTGTGTTCTCTCAATACGGTCGACTTCTGTGCCCTCCTCCACCGTCTCGTCTATCCGGGCCACCGCCACCGCCACCGCCGCCGCCACCTCTATATCCTCCGCCGCCACCACGACCGCTGCTTCTCTCGGGTCGCGGAGCGGATTTTTCCGCCATGGAGACTTTGATCTCGTTCCCTCTGAGGTTGTAGCCATTGAAGAAGCCACCGGCGGCATGGGCCGCGGATGGATCCTCGTAGCAAAGAACGCCATCGCCCTTGTTGTTTCCACCGTCGTCAGTGTAGAGCTTGATGTTCCAGGGCCACTGATCCTTGTAGCCGCGCCTTTGCTTTATCCTCGCGACCTGGCCGATGCCTCCAAACAGCGTTCTTAGCTCCTCGATCTGGACGTCCAGCGGGAGGTTCGAGATGTAAATCCGAGTGTTCTCGCACTTATCCCCGCAGTTCTCATCGCACTGCTTTACTTTCACTTCGTCGTTTCCCTGCTCTTCCGGATGGTGGTGCTGCCCGCCACCGCCGCCGCCACCACCTCTTCCACCACCACCGCCTCTATAGTTGTTATCGCCGCCATAGCCACGGCCTCTTCCACCACCACCGCCACCACCACCAAAGTCGCTCCCAGCATTTGCTGGCTTTGGACCTTTGCATTTGTTACACTCGGTCCTCTTCGCAAAGTTGACATTGCCACAGCTCGGGTTGGGACACAGCCAGTCTCCATCTCGGCCTCCCATGGGAGGACCTCGTGCGCCTCGGCCTCGGCCCCCATCTCCGCCACGGCCACCATATCCGCCTCCTCCTCCTCTTCCCCGTCCTTGCTCATACCCGCCTTCTTGCCTCCCAAATCCTCCTCCTCCTCCTCCCGGACCTCGTTGATCGTAGACTTCTTGTCGAGAAAATCCCCCTCCTCCTCCTCCACCCTGTCTTCCCTGGTCGTATGCTCCTGCGCCTCCTCCTCCTCCTCCTCCTCCTCCGTGCCTGCCCTGATCAAATCCTCCTCCTCTTCCTTGATCGAATCCCCCCTGTCTCCCCTGATCAAATCCTCCACCCCTTCCCTGCTGCTCGTACTGCCTTCCCTGCTCAAATCCCCCCTTTTGATCAAATCCACCTCTTCCTTCGTTTCGATTGCTAAAACCCCCGCCATAGCCACTGCTTTGGAAGCTCCCACCATAGCCCGGCGCCCCCCCTCCTCCTCCTCCTCCTCCTCCTCCTCCCTGAGAAGAGAATGAACTGTTATCGTACCTCTCCGGGCGGGCGCCGCTGCCCCGGCGATCGTAGCCACCATCGCTGTAGCCGCGCTCGGGCGCCTCCATTCTCCGCTCCCGAAACCCTTGCCCTAGCTATAGAACCCTAATGGATATTCCAGATCTGGGCGTTCATTTGCCCTAATATTTCCTTTTGCTTGCCCAAGAAAGAGAAGAAGATAAGCCTCCGGCCATGGCGACAACGCCTTGTTGGGCAGCGACGGCCCTCCCGAAATCGGGGCTGTGGGGATCTAGGGTTTCGATCGACGCTGCGCCGCCGAGGAATGCAGGTATTTCTTCGCGCCCGGGATTGGTAGTGGAGGCCCGGAAGAGAATCGAGGGGCGAGTGGTGTGCGCCAGCGACAATAAGACGGTGTCGGTGGAGGTGACCCGGCTGGTGGTGGATCCCAAGAGCAAGAAGCGGGTGCGGCGGTCCAAGAAGTATCACGCGCACGACGAGGACAACTCGTGCAAGCTCGGGGATTTCGTGACCCTCGCCATGTCTCGCCCCTACAGCAAGACCAAGAGGTTTATCGTGACGGACATCAAGGGCAAGACCATGGGCGGCGCCGCCACCACAGTGGCTACAGCGGTGGAACTGCCGCCAATGCAATCGCTAGTGGAAGGCGAGGTACTCTTCTTTGTCCATTAATTTTTTTTCGGGAAGCTTCGCCAACTAATGCGAGTTCGCATTTGCAGGGAGAACCACTGCAAGCGGCCGTGGCGAGCTGATGTACCTGTGTAGAGAAAAGACGCTTTGGTATTGGCAAAGAATTCCAGGGTTTTGGGTTGACTGCCTTCGAGAAGCAATTCCAGGGTTTTGGGTTGACTGCCTTGACCTACTAGAATGCTGCTGCTGCTGCTGTCCTCTCTTTACCAGGTGTTTAATGACGATGAGTAAGTCAACTCATAGAAACACGAACCGGACGGGAGGCTCTCCAAAAAGCCATACGGAAAAATCTTTATTATGTCTGAGAAGCTTTGTTCAGGGGTTAGAAACAATGTCGAATCTCGCTTTAGGTGAGGTCTCGAGTTGGGTGGCCAATTCGCTCAAAGAGTATCAACATTTGTTCGACTAGCAAGGAAGCCTCGGAGTGTAAGTCGCTTCCGACCTAATTCGATCGTTGTTCCCAACAAAAAAGAAGCGTTTTTTGGGGCTACCTAACTTCGTAGTCGCGCCACCGTTTTTGCGAAGTTCAAAGCGGCGATCATGTGGGCTGGGCTCCGAGTTAAGGCACGAAGAAAAGAGGAATAAAATACGTATTCCTTGCGTACCAGAAGGTTCGACAAGTGATGCTTGTGGTTTTAGGCCTGCATTCTTTGCCTTGTATAAACTAATCCCCAGGAAAGGGAGTTACACCTTGACATTAAGCTACACATTTGCTTTGCTAAAATAAAGGTATCATGGAAGTCAATGCAGCGAGTTAATGTCAACTTTGTGTCCATGTCCCATTCAATGCCAGCAGTTAAAGGTGCCCAAAAACGATCCTGCGTTGCGCCTTCATTGTTGCAGTTTTCGCAGCAGGCCAATGCCGCAAAAATGCCGCAATGCTTTTCAAAAATTCGAAACTGAAGCATATTCTCATGGCTCTAGGGCTGGAGGGCATTCCACAGAGGAGACAAAATGGATGATGCAACTATAAGGACGCGAACATCTCCATCAAATTCCCTGGAATCTCTTCTGCGCAGTGCAGCGTTCCACCTTTGGGCCACCGAGGTACGGCTTCAGTGGAGGAAAAAAGCGCGGTGTACGGACTGACCCTACCCTCCGCCTTTAAGGTGGTGGGGGTAGACGGACAAGCAGCGGCTCTGTTCTAGGGCTCACGGATGGTTTTGCCCGTTGACAGCGATGTTGTGGGCGATTCGCGCCGGGAAAATGTGGCTGCCGACCACGATTGCTCTAGCGCTGCGTAAAATCGAGCAGTAGAATGGGCAGTAGGGGAGAATGAGGACGGAGCGAGCGACTAGAGGACGAAATAGAACAGGGGGACTGTCGGCGAGGACGAAGAACGAGTGGTAGATGGAGTGATGCTGTCGCGCTTGCAATTCGATCCATCCATCGAACTTCTGGATCATAGCGCGCAGGAATTATGTGAGAGAGCTCCAGCGGTTCGCAGCTGGATTGGCAGAAAGAGGGCGGGCACGAGACGGTAGCAGAGGGGGGCCTTTCTTTGTCTGTCCGTCTCGTGCATTTGTATCAGGGATCAGGGAGAGAAGAAGAGGAAAGAGTTGGACTGATTGGAGAGAAATTTTCATGGCTTTCTTAGCGAGAGATGGGGACCCAGTGCAATAAAAGCTTCCAAGGGCGAGCTTTGCTTGTTTTCTCAGTCTCTCTCGTTTGATCATCCTGTTAAGTTGGATTGGGAGAGCTAAGAGAGAGGAGGAGCTTACAATCGGTGGTGGGGGATTAGTTTTTGGTCATCAATCTCTCCACCACCGCTAGCGACTGCTCCACAGAGAGAATGTTAGCTGGAGGAGATCGTTCTATGGCCCTATCCATCTCCAATTCTATGATCTCTCGCGATCAATCAATGCGCGCGGCGAGGGATTGATCCAGAAGAGCGAGAGCTGAGGTGACGATCCTAATGGCGAGAAGAAGAAGATCGCCATGGCCGGGGCTCTTGCTAGCGGTGGTGCTGTTGGTTCTTTCTCTGGGGCTGGAGGCGAGCAATCCCAATGGTACCGCGATTCGGGGCAATCTCGTCAAGCTCGGCGGCAATGCCAGATCTTTCCGGGGGAGAGGAAGGGGAAGCTCGCGGCTTCTCAAGATCCAGAAGCAAATCAACGCGATGAACAAGCAGCCGGTGAAAACGATTCGGGTGAGTGAGAAAATAGTGCTCATTCGCGGAGAAGATCGAAAATTTTGTGAAATCTGTGCGTGTAGAGCCCGGATGGAGATTTAATCGACTGCGTGCTGCTGCGAAATCAGCCTGCATTTGATCATCCCAAGCTCAAGCATCACCAGCTCCAGGTAACCCGAGATTTTCTCTCCCCCTTTTCATCAATAATTTTTCCAGGAAGAACCGATGATATGGCCAAACAATCTGGCCAAGGAAACGAGCACTGAGCAAGACGTCGTCAGCATCCGAGTGACGCAAATGTGGCATCAATGCGGCAAGCAATGCCCTCGAGGAACAGTGCCGATTCGAAGAACAACGATCGACGACATCCTTCGCGCGGGATCGGTGAGGAGATACGGCCGGAAATTCCACAAGCCTCCCAATCCGAGCCGATCCAACTCGTCCGGCGCAGCTGCGAGCTTCCAGGCCAGCTCCCTGATGGCGATGCCCGAGGCAATGGATTCAAACGGCCACGAGGTAGAGAAATATCCCCAATTTCGCCAAGAACCCTAAATCTCCTTGTGTGTGTGTAGCATGCAATCGCCTACACGACTGGGCAGTTCTATGGCGCCCAGGCATCGCTCAATGTGTGGCGCCCGGACATCGATGTGCCCAACGAGTTTAGCCTCTCGCAGATCTGGCTGCTGGGAGGCTCCTTCGCGGACGATCTCAACAGCATCGAAGCTGGATGGCAGGTAATCTGTCTAGGTCGAATTTCCCTGTGATCGCGGATGATCTGTTTGACAGGTGAGCCCGGAGCTCTACGGCGACAGCAATCCCAGGTTGTTCACGTACTGGACGGTAATTCGCGAAATCTCGAGCAAGAAAGCATCGCGTGACGATTTTCTTTTATCCAGAGCGATTCCTACCAAGCCACTGGCTGCTACAATCTTTTGTGCTCGGGATTCATCCAAACCGGCAGCGACATTGCCATAGGCGCATCGATCTCCCCGGTTTCCTCCTACGATGGGCCACAATACGATATAAGAATCCTTGTCTGGAAGGTAACTTGGATCATATACGTCCCTTGGATCATATTCTTCATTCTTTTCTTTGTGTGTTCTTCCTCTAGGATCCAAGAACTGGCAATTGGTGGATGAGGCTGGGCGATCGAACGCTCGTCGGCTACTGGCCGGCGGAGATCTTCTCACACCTCACGGACTACGCCTCCATGGTGGAGTTTGGAGGTGAGGTGGTGAACACCCAGCCGGATGGATCCCACACCGCCACACAGATGGGAAGCGGGAGATTTCCCTCTCGGGGATTTGCCGAGGCGAGCTACTTCAGGAACATTGGAGTGGTGGATTCGGACAACGAGCTGCAATCCCATCCTGTTCTTCAGACGCTGGCCGAGCATCCCAATTGCTATGGGATCGTCAAGGCTGGCAGCAGCGACTGGGGGCAGTATTTTTACTACGGTGGTCCTGGGAGCAATCCCACTTGCCGATGAAATTCATTCCTTCCTTCGCTCCTTTTTTTTTTGCTTTCTCACTCTTTCGGTGTTGACGATTGTTTTGTTTGCACTTGGAGCTACTTACTCTTTGTAGGAAGGATCCACAAATTTTTGCTGGTACGTCTTGTTTTTCCTATTTATTTCTCTTTTTCAGTAGTCGTCGTCGCCATCTAATGGCTTCACTTTCTTTTGCAGTGGCAGTGGCAGTGGCAGAGGCAGTGGCAGCGGCTGCAGCCATAGCTGAGTTATAAGCAAGGACGCACACACCAAACCGAACCCTGTCACTGTAAGAACAACGCACAGGCTTAGCGAGAATCGACCAAACAAAAAAGCAAACTCGCCAGCAACGCCGTGCTACGCTACAGATTCTTCTTTTCTTCCCCTCGAAGAACACATACTCAACACCTTCGACAGGGAGAGACTCCATTCCAAAGGAGAGTCATAACGGTACATCCACTTTCTGCTGGCTACAAAGACTCATACTAAGCTGGTTATCAAGCAAAGCAACAGCAAACGAAACTTCATTATTCACAACCAACAAACCAGAACTATCACGCTCGGACGGAAAGAAGAAACATGTCATCCAGCCGATCGTTCGTTGCCGAGTTCCCTCCGTAAACAAGCATCGAATTCTCGAATCCAGCCGCAGCATACCATCCTCTGGCTCCAGGATGCTTCCCTTCCAGTCTCGGCTTCTCCCACGCCAGCTTCTCCGTGTCAAGTACTAGCAGCTCGTCGGTGAACGCTCCAGCTCCAAGGTGTCCCAAGTCACTCGGATCCACTTCGCCACCGTAGAGGAAGATCTTGTTTCCAACGCACGAAGTTCCAAAGACGCTCCGGCCGATCGGCTTCTGCAAAGAAGAGCAAGAAACCTGAACTTCTTCCCAGGTCTGGCTCGCGATGTCGAAACGATGGACGTCTGTTAGCTCGTCCCCGCAGAAGCCGAAGATGACCCACACAGCTCCATTGACGACTGCCAAGCCAGGACCTCCTCTCGGTGTCAGGGTCGACGACTCCGGGAGTTTCTTCCAGGTGCTCGACTCGATGTTAAACACCCATAGATCGTTCAAACGGCCAGCTTTTCCGCAACCTCCAAAGGTATAGATGTTTTTGCCTTGTTTGTCCGCCGCTAAAGTGTGATAGCTCCTGGCAGGCAATCGAGCGAGAAGTGGTGAAAACTTGAATCGAGAAAAGAAAAGATATGCAAACCTGTGAGGAGGACTCGTCTCTTCGGCTGACAAGAGCCTCCACTCCCCGGTCACGGTATCAAACGAGAAGAACTCGTTAAGTTCCTGGTGCTGCTCGTCCCGACCTCCAAACACGAAGATGGTGTTGCCAGCGGCGGCCATTGCGACGCCAACTCTGGCGCTGGGGATTTCTCCTCGCAACTCCGCCACCGCCCAGCTCCTCTGGCGAAGATCAAAGACATGGACCTTGTTATCGATGGGAACGCGAGGCTCAAACTCGCCGCCAAACACATAGGCCTTGGATCCCACCACAGCCACCGCGTGAGAGCTGCGAGCCTTGGGCGCTCCCTCCTGCTGTGTGATCTGGAAAGAGAGAAAGAAAAAATCCATTCATTCGATCTGCGAAAAGAAGAAAATGCCATCGCCTCACTTCTTCGCTCGAGACGGCTAAGCACGACATGGCCACAAAACTACTCGAGCGCCAGGTAAACCCTCCCCTGCTTAAAATAATGCGGAAGAGAATATTCTCTTGGCTCCCTCTGTTAAAGTTTCTAAACACCTTTAAAGCAGGGGAGGATTTATCTGGCCCTAGAGAAACCCTTCCCTGCTTAAAAGGTGTTTTAAAACCTTAAAACAAAAGGAGCATATTCCAGAGTAATATTCTGTTTAAGATTCTAAAATGCCCTAGACCTCTTGTTGGCTATGGCAGGGAGGATCGCTCGGCGATGCCGTGTCCCGCAACGCAATGCCGGCTTCGATCACCAGCAATGGCGCGGCGCCGCGGTGAGTCTAGCGATCTCCCCCCTCTCTGATCGCTTGCGCTGATGATAATCTCTCTCCGATTTCTCCAGATGCTCAAGCCGCCACAGGTGGACAAATACGAGGTCCTGGATCCCGACGAGGCGCAGCGCCTCCGCCAGAAGATGGAGCGCCGCAAGGAGGGCATCGTGGATCGCTACAACCGATCGCTCAGCGAGGACCGCAGCAGCAATGTGGGCTCCTTCCGCCAGCGCTCCGACAAGTACATGAGGCCCTTCTGCCTCGACGTCCATCTCTCGTCTAAGTATGTCAACGCCACGATCATGCACAGGTCGAGGGGGAGAGTGGTCGCGGCGGTGTCCACCAATTCCAAGGACATGCGCGCGACGCTGCCGTCGCGGTCGGACCTCTCGGCGTGCCGGATCGTCGGCGAGACGCTGGCGGATCGCGCGAAGGAGGCGGACTGCTACTCGGTGATCTACATCCCGCGGAAGTTGGAGCGGCTGGAAGGGAAGCTGGCCGCAGTGGTGGAGGCGGTGGCCAACTGCGGGATCAGTGTCTACCACGCGGACAAGGGGATCATGCTGGCCAGGAACTCGAGCCAAAAGTGACGATCGATTGAGCTGCGAAAGCTTTCCTTTATCAAAAGCTGGGATCAAGATCATCAAGTTAGAAAGTAGAGCACCCATCTGATTGCTTGATCAAGAACACTTGGGCGAGAAACTGGGAGCTCGAGGAGCGATCGGTCCTGTTATGAGAAACACCAAGTAAAGTAGGACGATCGAAACTTTCAAGTTTACGTACCAGTATGGAGGAAAATCTCGCAAAGAGCACTTGCTACTTTTTAATCCTACCTAGAACTAAAAGAAGAATTTTTACCCACCTCGGGCTCTCTGCTCAGCAAAATCTCTCGATCCATGCGGTAGACACTGATCCCACAGTCCACCAGCGAGTCGATCACCACTGCCAGCCTCCCCTCCACCCGCGATCCACTGAAGGCCACAGCGTAGCAATCCGCCTCCTTGGCGCGGCGAGCCAGGAGCTCGCCCGTGAAGCGGCACGCCGCCAGATCGGTCTTGTCCGGCAGGAACGCCTTCAAATCCCGGGAATTGGTGCCCACGGATGCCACCGTCGTGTGCTGCGCACTGTGGACGATCTTGGCGTGGATGGATCGCTTGGGGAAGTCGATGATCAAAAAATAAGGCCTCATGTACTTGTCGGACTCACGCCGGAAGGACATTCGAGTGCCCTGCGCGGCGGATCTGGCGTAATCCCTGGCGATCCTCTCCTTCTCCCTGGCCAAGCGATCGAGGCGCCGCTCCAGCTGCGTGTCGATCGCGCAGCCACCGTAGGGCGGATCCACGTCCATGTCGGGGAAGAGGATTTGCTGCGGCAGCGGCGGCGATCAAGCTGTGAGAATCTCTTGCGCTGAGAATGCGATCGGGGAGAGAGGGGAGCGCTCACCGCATTGCGCCGTTGCTGGAGAATGGGCGTCGCCGAGGCGTTGAGCCGCGAGCTTCTCCTCCAAAGCGCCATAGCTTAAAACAAGAGCCCTAAAAAACGGTCAAGTGGTCAATGGTCAATCTATGCGAAAAAGAAATGGAGGTGAGGGGCATCGATCCCCTTACCTATCGCATGCGAAGCGATCGCTCTACCATCTGAGCTACACTCCCTTAGGTTGCAAAAGATTAACGAAATAACCTGTCCCAGCTTTTATAAAAATTATCCCACCAAGCTTCTAGAATGATGATCCAACACCATAGAAAATTTATCCCCACTCTCAAGACAAAAAGTACCTCCTACTCCTCCTTTTTTTACTTTTCCAGTGATTTTTTTTTCCAAATGGCAGAAACAACAACCACAAGAAAATCTCCATCCACTTAGCAAAGATCTCGCAAATGAATATTTGGCCTTTGACATGCACGGGTCAATCAATCCAACTGAAGCTGGCCGTTGGATGCGTCCCTTTCGAAATCCCGCCGCGTGGGAGTTCTCCGCCCGCCGGATGCGAAGGCACCCTACGGGCCAGATGCGTCGATACAGCCCAAATCTAAAATGCTTCCCTGCCAGCCTTTTCCTCCCTGTGCGCGTGTGTGTGTTTTGTGCGCGCTCGCGTTTTTCCTCTCTTCTGGCAGCCCTGCCTGGCCCGGAGCTGTGCGCCATCGCCTCTATTTTCTTGTTGCGATCGATCGGCCAAGCCGCGCGCGCGCGCGCTCTAGGTAATCGCGAATCCGATCGGATTCCCTCTGGCGACGCGCTGCAGCAGCAGGAAATTGACGCAGCAAAGCCGGAGAGGGGATTGATTGCTTCGTAAATTGATCCATCCCATTGGTCGATTGATGGGAGCGCGTCCTTGACGAAGAATCGGCGCTCTTTCTCTGCCTGGCGCTAGCGATCGACAGGTATATTTTTCCCACGCCATAATCGCTTCCTAGGTTGAAATATTTCTTGGTTTCTTTGTTCTTTCCCTCTTCTCCTCTTTCTCGATTTTTCAAGGCTGCATTGAATCGATGATCTTGTTGCGATGACAACATCCCTGGTCAAGGATGCGGCTGGCATGGACAAAGTCGTTCTTCGCGAACCACTGGGCGCTACTGCTCAGGTTAGTTCCATTCTTCTTGTAGGAGAGGTTCTCTGTTTTAATTTTCTTCCTTCGATTTTCTTTGGGAGTGTTTGCGTTTGCTGCTGGGTCTCATCACTGTTTGCACAGGTCCATCTCTATGGAGGTCAGGTGACATCATGGAAAAACGAACGGGGTGAAGAACTCCTGTTTTTAAGTAGCAAGGTTTCTTTTCTTTTCTGTTTTTTTTTTCATTCTTTACACAAAGGTGCTGCGGGACTTCTGAAAAGCTTCTTCGGTCGGTGCAGGCGATTTTTAAGCCACCAAAGGCCATTCGTGGTGGAATCCCCGTTTGCTTTCCACAGGTTTGTGCTTGATTTGTAATAAGTTGCTCTAAACGTTTTCTCCTATAATTTGTTTGTAGTTCTCAAACTTGGGAACGCTGGAGCAGCATGGTTTCGCGAGGAACAGAGTATGGGCAATCGACACGGATCCGCCTCCCATTCTAAACTCGAGCGGTAGCGGGAGCTGTAGCAGCAACAAAAACAGTACAGTCGATCTTATCCTTAAATCCAGCGAAGATGCTTGGCCGCACAGGTACTCAAAAAGTCCGCTTTATTCTATTTGTCTTTTGTCGAGAGCTGTCGACTCAAACAAACGTATGTGTGTGTGTCAACAGCTTTGAAGTGAGAATGCGTGTTACTCTAAAACGCGGGGGAGATTTGGCTCAAACTATCCGCGTCAGAAACACCAACACGGACAACAAATCTTTCAGCTTCACAATTGCTCTCCATACATACTTTTCCGTTTCTGACATCAAGTGAGGTCTTGTCTAGTTAAAGACTTCTAAACCGTAATGTAATTCCAGTGAAGTACGCATCGAAGGGCTGGAAACACTGGAATATATGGACAACTTGCAACAACGGAAACGCTTCACCGAGCAAGGGGATTCCATCACTTTTGACGGCGAGGTACCACATCTTTGCATCTTGAGGCTCTTGTTTCCGTCGACTAAATGTTTTGTTTATAGGTGGACAAAGTTTACTTGGGAGCTCCGACGAAAATCGCTATAGTCGATCACGAGAAGAAGAGAACTATTGTGGTGAAGAAGGAAGGCTTTCCCGATGCAGGTGCGCATTTCATTTATCATTCTTTTAGATTTCTTGTAGATCTTTCTTTAGTTATGATCTACTGGGACAAGGAACAGCTAACAAGCGCCCGTAACTCTCTGGTGCAGTTGTGTGGAATCCTTGGGACAAGAAGGCGAAAGCTATGTCGGACTTTGGCGACGACGAGTACTTACACATGGTTTGCGTGGAACCCGCGGTCATCGAGACTCCCATAACTCTCAAACCGGGCGAGGAATGGAGGGGCCGTCAAGAACTCTCGGCTGTTCCTTCGAGCTACTGCAGCGGTCAATTGGATCCTGGCAAGGTACTGCAGGGAAAGTGATCTTCTAACTGGTGGAATGGAAAGAAGTATCGACAACCAAATAGATCAGTACCTACATCGAAAACGAAAAAAAGAAGAAAAAAACACAAAAAGGTGAGCAGGTTCTAAAAGTTTTTTTGCAGGCAAGTTACGCCTTCTTCTGAGCGATGAATCGATCGATCGATCGTACTTCCAACACTGAAAAGCCAAAGAAAAAAGAAAAAGAGTGAAGAGAGTTTGGTGCACTGCCACTACTGACGAAAGAGAGGGAAATGTATATTCGCAAAGAGGTCTTGTTCTTGTCCAGAATATTTTTCAACTTTTTTAGGTTTGTAGGAAGATATCGTGCCAACTTAAGTTACCCTTAGAGCTATTTTTTATACGACGACAAATATATCCTTTCCGACGTCATCATCGTTTGGATTTTAGGGTTTTGGGCGCAAATGGAGCTTGTGTTGTTTCGAAGGCGATGGATGGAGCTGGCGGCTTGCGTCGTGTGCATCATGGCCACGCTGCTCGTCTATGGCGTGATGCAGGTAGTGCGCTGCTAGATCCATCTCCACTGAGACGCCTCCCTTGGAAATTTATCGCAGGAGAGGATAATCCGGGTTCCCTACGGCTCCAGCGGCGAATTCTTCCAGTACTCGCTTTTTCTCGTCTTTTGCAACCGGATTTTGACGTGCGCCTTCGCGATAACCGTAATGCTGGTGAGGAACATCGATCGGGATTTTTTTCTTCTCAGAGGAGAGAGTTTTCATCGCTTTGGCTGTAGGTTCTTAAGAAGGATCTCTCTCCCGTTGCCCCGATTTACAAGTATGGCGGTGTCTCCTTGTCAAATATTTTGGCAACCACTTGCCAGTATGAGGTTTGTGTGGCGCTCTTCACTTGGTTCTCGGGACTTTTTAAAGTTTTCCTTTGTCCAGGCTTTGAAGTACGTCAGCTTTCCTGTGCAAACGCTGGGAAAGTCTGCCAAGATGATCCCTGTGATGGTAAGTGATCCTTCTTTTTTTTAACTCTGGATGAGTTGCTTCTTTTAGCTGTTTCACAGATTTGGGGAACTTTGATCATGCAAAAGAGATACGGGTTGCGGGATTACTTGCTGGCGCTTTGCATCACAGCAGGTGCCGCAGTCTTTCTCCTGTATGGTGTATGAGCTCTCTTTTCTCCTCCCGAGATCGTTGCTCTGATCGGGTTTTTCTTTTCCAGGAAGGGGCTCAAACGAAAAGCTTGAGTGGAGGAGAGAATTCTATCTGGGGACTCGCTCTCATGGCCGGCTATTTGGGGTACTGCCGCTAATGCGCATTTCAGGTTACCAAGTTCGTTCGTTCGTGATGTGCAGTTTTGACGGGTTTACAAGCACATTCCAGGACAAGCTTTTCAAAGGCTATAGTATGGAAGTGTTCAACCAGATTTTGTACGTGACGCTATGCTCCTGTGCTCTGAGTACTTTTGGTAAATGCTTGCTTTTCCACGCATTTCGCTTAGACTAAAGTGGTGTGGTGGAAATGCAGGACTCTTGACCCAAGGAAACTTGTTCCCAGCTCTTTCCTTTATTAGCCGCCACAGGGATTGCTTCTTCCATGTTTTCCTTCTGTCTTTGGTATGTTACCGCTCTTTCACGTCTAGACTTTTGGTCTCCTTTGACAGGCGGCCACCGCCAGCCAGTTCTTCATTAATCACACCATTAAGACGTTTGGAGCGCTCACGTTTGCCATTATCATGACCACCAGACAGGTGCACTATCTCACATTTAATGATCTCTATGAAATCATTCTTCCTCCCTTGCAGCTGGTGAGCATCTTGTTATCGTGCTTGTGGTTTGCTCATCCCTTGAGCTGGAAGCAATGGTTAGGCACGGTAAGTCAGCCTTTTTTCGTTATCGGCAGAGCCTTTTATTTACTTCTTACTTTTTCGAGTCCAGCTTTTGGTGTTTGGATCGCTGTACTACAAGTCGTACGCTGGAGCGACTGATCGAACGAAACAAGCGGTCAAAGAGCCAGAGAGTGTGGAACTACAAGGCAAAACGGACACTGCTCAACAAGTATAGCATCTCTCAAGAGAACTTACATTTTTCGCGGGAGTAATATTTTACAAGGCTGTAACGCACAGGACAAGAGCTCCTGATGTTGTTCAGCTACACGGCTTTGGTATCCTCCTGGTTCGTGGAGAGAGCGGCACAAATCTCAGTGACATTACAATTTGTACCGGCACTTCGAGCCCTCTAAGATATATGACCAGTTTAGTATACATAACGAGAACCAAGAAAATTTATACCTCCAGCAGTGAAATGTAGTAGAAATCTTCCATGTGTTGCATCAGGGCGGTTCCATCCCTGAGAGTTCTTAGCATTGCAATCTCGGTCTGGATGAGCTTGTTGATTAGCTGCTTCTCTCCTTTCAGCTGGATCAAGTGAAAACCTTTCAGGCAAAGTTGAGAAAAACGATAGTTGCTTACGAACTCTCCTACGATTCCACCGGGTGTGGCTTCTCCAATGACATCCTCCTCGAGCTCGCTTGTCTTCTGTGAAAACAATCAAACTTTAAGTTTTGTAGTTTTCAAGATGGAAGAATGCGTCTACCTCTAAACTGGACAAGTAGATTGCCTGAGCAACATGGCAGTAACCCATGAGTCGAGGCACAGTGGGAATAATATCACGATGGTTGACAATGCGCCAGCTATCCTTGATAACCTGGTAGGATTTCGAGTTCCAAGTGATTGAGTTTACAGTACCAAGCTGTGACGCACCTTGTTATACTGGTCAGCGAATGCTCTGTTTCCCACCCGTGGAGAACCGAAGTTGTACATTGAGAGATTCACTCCCTTGTGTCTGATGTATACCATAAAAACGAAGACCGGATATGAGTTTCCATGAATAAAAACGATAAGAAGTACTTGAACATCGTCTTAGAAAGATCCATCGCCAAAAGTGTTGCCAGAGCGCCACCCAGGCTATGCCCGGTGATATAAATATGCCATTTTGATAGCTCTGCATCACCAGCTTCGTCATTCCTGCGCAACACAAGAGGTAACACTTAAGGATGAAGCTTGCAGAAAACCTGCTAGTGATGGATGCCTTGATAATAGACAAAAGCCGATGCCTGACAGAATCGTAGGCTGTTAAAAAACCACTATGCACCTGTTGTAGAAAAGATGAAGCCTTGTTCTATAAAATACAGCCACCTTACCATTATCTCATCGTCCGAACCACCATCAGCAACACGTTCTGGATTAAAGCTGCAGGAAGGACCATCAATCCAGGCACTTCCGTAAAGGAGAAAGAAAATGAGCTCACCCGGTGGGGGCTAGCATCAGATCTGTTGCCAAGTCTCTCCACTTATCCTGCAAAGGAATAAAGTTGATAGACAGCGACTTAATGAAAGAAAAACCTGCTCAGTCCCGCGGAAAGCTACGACGAGTCTTTTGCCACGAAGATCACGCCATACTGCAACCTGTACAGAAAGTTACGCTTCTGTTCAAGTTCAACAGAGGCTTGCCTGCGTGTCTGTGTTCTTGCTTTCTAGGAAGCAGATCTTCTCGAATTCGGATCTGACAAAACTCGTCCGCCCGAGCGACGTCGACAAGATTGCCCAAGCTTCCATCGCGGTCTCTGCTCGTTTGAACATCTCTCGCATTTGTTCGCGTTGAGAAACATCTAGTAGAGGCGAATTCTGAATGACTTCTGCGGCATCATTTGCCTTATCACTTCCAGCACTTCGTCCCATAGCCAGCATCAACAATGAACCGAGAGTTTCCTCCACACGTCCTGAGATGTTCAGCAACGTCTCCTTAACCTCGGGAAGGACCGCCTCTGCGATACTTTCGGACTCCTCACTGCTCGGATGAACTAAACGTTTCTCTAAGTAGTGCGCTTCAGCTCTAGCCTGCAGCTCTAATCCCGACTCCTTCAACGTGTCATGGTCTTCACCATGAAAATTCCAGAGACTTGAAGGGTGCAAGTCAAAACCCCCCAGGCAGTTCTTCATAGCATTTGCTACGCTGTTGATCAAGTCTGCCCCGTTGGATGATGCTTCTTGGTCTGTTTCATTAGCAGCTGATGTAGAAGGCAAGAGGTGTAACGACCCGATCGTTGAGCCTACGAAGTCCTGGACCTTTATCCCGTCCGGGCCAAGGACCGACGTCAAAACGTTTCCGATGCCTCCTTTGATCAAGTCGGACAGAAAAGGAACTTCCCACACGCTATTCTCTCCATCTATATCAGCAAAACTCTTGTACTGGACCTGGATATATATATATTCAATAGTCAGGCACTAATTCGAGAAAGAAACATCTGACCTTGAGATAAAGTGACCCGCCACCTCCCATGCCTTCCAATTGCATTTCGATGTCATGAGCCGTTCCTGCACGCATTACGCATTACAAAACAAAAAGAGAAACAGTAGAATGACTCCTACCATCACACAAAGTGCTGAGCTCAACTTCATAGTTTCCTAATCGTTTGTGCACGCTTAGAATATTAGCATCCCACACAGCAACCTGCGAATAAGCTGCAACATTAGCCGACATCGTTTTTGAAAATTCCACCTTCAAGGATTGCGTCAAAGGATCAGCAACATTTAGAACGAGTGTTTCATTCCAAACAGGGTCTTTTGTTCTGCGCGGACAAACATACTTAACAATATTTCGAAGAAGTTTTCACTTACGCCCATGCCGTTTTGCTCTGCTTAGCACAATTTCCTATTCGAAGCCACACGTAAGGATCACTTGTTCCCTGCACTTTCATTGTCGATCAAAAAGAACACCCAAGTACACCATACCCAAAGATCAAGCCCTGGAAGATTGACACCTTTTTCCAGTTTAACCGTAAGTTGTCCTTGATACAGTTCACGGATGAGACCACTGCATCACACAGCTCAAATGAAGAAACGTCCAAGAACAATTCCATAAGTTACGTACTCGGACATGTAAGTAGTCTCGCAGCTCTGTCCATCCGTCTCGCGAATCCCAACGTTTGGCTGGAAGAACGGTGCCGAGAAGTTCAAGTTAGAACAGGAGAGAACATATACTTGCAAGCTTACAAAGGAGCAAGAGAAAAACAAATTCGCAAGCTTACAAAGGAGAAAAGAAAAATCGAAAGGAGCAAGAGAAAGAACAAAGAACTCGCAAGCTTACAGGAGGAGAATTGTAGGACTCGAATGCAAATCCAGCCAGCATCACCGCGAGGTCGAGGTCGAGGACGATCGTGCCGCCGGATTCCTCAGCGTCATCGATCCCGATCAAGCGCTTGCGATGCTCAAACCTATCTTGGATCCAGGACTTGATGTGTTCCAGCTGAATCCCTTGGACGAAAACCACAGGGCCGCAACATCGCAGCGCGCTCCTGGGGCGATATTGCGATGCCTTCGCGCTCCAGATTGAAGAGCGCTGCCGCAGATTGATCAATGCCGTGCATTGCGCCTCGAGCGCCATAGCCATGGCGCTTTCCAGAGCATCGCTAGGCCCACGCCGCCAAAGAATTTTCTCGATGCAAGGATTTACATACGTGGATATTCTCTCTAACGGGCCAGGAATTTAGGGCTCCTCGTGATGGCGATGGCTCCTGGCTGGGGCGTGGCAAATTCCAGACAGCTGCTCTGCGCGAGGGCGCAGCTAGATTACGATTTCGCCGCCAGCGAAGGGAATGCGATGCGCGAGGCCAGGCTCTGGGATCTGGTGGCGTCGCGGATGAGCTTCCAGTGCAGCGGCCGCGAATGCGAGCGCGAGTGGAGGGCGCTGGTGTCGCGGTACGAGGTCAGTTATATCTCTAGCTCTAGGAATCTCGCGATGGATTGATCGTTCTTAGAGGATTTCTTTTCAGTGTAGGAGAAAGGATTGCAAGAAGGAAATGCTTCCCTGTTTGAGGAAATCGACGCCATATTTAAGTCACGCGGAAAAGAGGCTATGGTTTTCACGATTTCCGAGGAGGAATCCGTGAGCATCGACAGTCACGAAGACGGTGAGAGCGAGGCCGAGAGAGACGTCCAACAGGTCTTGGAGGATATGTTCCATCGAATGCCTTGCGTGCCTCCGGGGTGGCTGTGGCAAGAAGGAATGATGGCGAAGGAAAAAAATGGAGATACAGGTCTGGACGATGAGGAGCACCATCCAGCTCTCTCCTCCAGCGCTGAGGCATCGACCCAGTGTAAGCAAGAGGCCGTGGAAGAACGCATGCCTCGCTGGGGACACACCGAGACCAAGGACTTCATTTCCATCAGAGCGGGCATGGAGGAGGATCCATCGCTTTCTTCTCAGAAGAATTGGTGGGATCGGATCGCGGGGAAGATGAGAGAAAGAGGCTACGCGAGAACCAGCGAGCAATGCAAGCGCAAGTGGAAGAAGCTAGTCAGTCGTTATAAGGTGAGTGAGAGTATGCAGGTATGTGCTGCGCTTCGCAAACTTATGCTCGCAATTCCAGGAGAAAAGAACGACCGGTTTGGAGCACGGGCGGAAGTTCCTCTTCTTTCCGGACATGGACGAGCTGTTCAAGGCGAGGCTACAGAGGACCGAGACAGCAGAGAAGGGACCAAAGGAATCTCTCGAGGAGAACCAAGCGGACTCAGACCAGCTGAGCGAGGACGCCGACAGTGCGGAGGTGGTAGAATTTCCGAGGAAGAAACGGAGAACGGATGGGATGCATCAGGTGCTGTCCGACTTCATCGCCAAGCAGCAAGCCGTGGAGAGGCGGTGGCAGGAGTTGCTACAGAGAAAGCAGCGAGAGTGGCAGCAGCGGGAGCACGAGTGGATGAGTGGAATGGAGAAGCTACAGCAGCAGCGGATGGCAAGAGAGGCGGCCTGGAGGGACCGCGAGGAGCAGCGCCGCGCTCGCGAGGAGATTCGTGCACAGAAATGGGACAAGCTGTTCGCGGTACTGGCAGACAGGCTACAAGCGGACGACTGACCTTTCTCAAAGCAGAAAAGGTATTTTTTTCTATCTTTTCTCCTGTTCTTCGTACATTGCAAAAGTCTATACATGCGGGCTTGAGCTGGAACAACTCATCGCAGGTCACCAACGCGGAAAAATCTGTCAGGGAAGCATATCTTTTCGGGCGGAGTCAAAAAGTATCCGTGGCTCCCTCCGACCCCGAAGAAAGAAAGCGAAGCTATAGCATGGAAGTCTCTCGTCAAGTGGGGCTCGAAGAAGTTACAGCTCTTTCAGCAGAGGAAAAAAATACAGAGAAGTCCGGGATCAGCAGTCGTCGCGTATCACCTTTCTCAGCACAGCTTCGACCAGCTCGTCTCGCTTCCGGGACCGTACCTCGTCCCGCAGTCGCCGCTGTTCTTCGCGTTCCCACCACGCCTGCTCCCGCAGCGCGCGCTCCTGCTCCAGCTTCTCCATGCACTCCCGCCACTCGTGCTCGCGGGCTCGCCTCTCCATCTCCCGCTGCTCCAGCGACACCCGCCACTGCTCCTCGTTGCGCTGCTGCTGCTGGAAAAACTCCTCCAGCACCTCTTGCATGCTGCTCGCCCTCGACTTCTCGGCGGTGGCTCGCTGCCTGTCCTTGTCAACTTTGCGCTTCCGCGGCCGCTGCTGTTGCTGCTGCTGCTGCTGCGACTGGCTTGCTGCTGCTACTTGGATTTGCTGCTGGAGCTGATGTTGTTGCTGCTGCTGCTGCTCTTGATGGTGGTGCTGGAATGGCTGGAGCTGCTGCAAGTTCCTGTTGTCGTCGTCGCTCTCTTCATCGTCATCTTCGTCGTCGGTTTCCTCGTCGGACAGCAGGCCTTTGAGCTTCTTGAGACGCTTCTTGGGCCTCAAGCCGTCGGACTCGAGCATGAGCATGCTCTTGGACCGCTCCTTGAAGATGGCGTCGAGCTCCTCGTAGAACGGGCATTGCCTCCCATTGTCGGGCTCGGATATCTCCTTTCCCTGCAGCAAAGAGTGGTTTTTAAGATCCGAGAAGTTGGCAACGAAGCGAGACAAAATCGAAGAACCTTAAAACTCGAGAAGGGAGATCGAAGAAGACTAGAACGGTCGAAGAAGACTACCAAAGAAACACTTGACAAGATCCAGAGAAGATCGTCACTGGAAGAGATCGAAGAACAAAGAAGAGAAGAAATCCTAAAACGCGGCGCGAGTGGAAGAGAAAGAGAAAAACAAATCCCAAGAGATGGATGAGAAAACGAGAGGAACCGACCTTGTAGCGATTGACGAGGTTCTTCCACTTGCACTTGCACTGATCGGCGCTCCGGCGGAAGCCCTTGTCCTTCATCCGCCCGGCAATGAGCTCCCACAGCGTCTTGTTGCGCTTGGTCTGCGTGAACTCCCTCTCAAACTCGGCCCTAATTGCAATGAATTCCTTCGTCTCGTGGAATCCCCACTGTGGGATCCGCTCCTCCTTCCTCCGCCCGCCCCTCATCATCGCAGCTCCTCCTCCTCCACCACCACCGCCGCCGCCTCCATCGAGAATGCCGCCGCCCACAGCGATGGCCGGTGGCTGCTGCAAGGGAATCACGATGCCATCGCCGAGCAGGCTCGACATTGCCTGGTGGAACGCCAGCTTTGAATCAATCACGCCACTCCTCTGCCCGGGCTTCCTCGTGCCCTAAGTAATTTTACCGTGGGGAGGGAGGAGGACAAATATTCCGTCGCAGCCGCGTGGCACATTCCGCCGGGCCGCCGCCACGGCACCGACGGAATATGCTCCCACGGCGACAACCGTACGATGCGCTCGTGGGACCACGGTACGGTGGCGGCCACAGGCAGCGTTTTTCCGGTTACCAGTCTGTATCGCGTCGATCTTCTGGTAGGAAAGCTCGCGATTTTATTCTCTCCTCTGAGAACACACTTGAATGGCGTCTTAAAACCTCCATCCACATAAACCATTCGCTTGCTTGCATCGGATAATCCATCACGCAACGCGCGCAGGTGGTCACTAACTTTTCTTTCGTCCAATCGTCGTCACAATGGAATGCTGAGAGTTTGATGAGAGACGAGGAATGGGGCAATTAAAGTTCCGCCCAGGCCGCACAGAGAGATTATCCTCGTTGGTTTTTCACAGTCCTACCTAGATGATAGTTTTAATTCTCAGTCGTCATCCAACACGTTCCTGCGTCGTTGTATCTGGAAGAGATGCGCAGAACCGAGTTAGAAAATCTCTGGTTTTATCAAGAAATAATGTGTCTTGAGGAACTTACAGTGACTTTGGTTGTTTTCTTAGTTTGCTCGTTGATTTGCTCCAGCAGCTGGATGAGTCTCTCCTCGGAAACCTGGCAATGCAGAGTGGAAGAAAAAATACCTTTTTTGGGTAGTTTTGATATGTAGTTACCTTCTCGGTGATCTGGCCTCGCTGAGCGCTGTGAAGAATCAAGTCCTCCACGCCTTTTGCCTTCTCCGGCTTGACGAGTGCAATTCGCGAAACTAGAAGAACACGAACAGGTTTTAAACGCAAACAAAATGGAAGTTTCTTTTTCTTTTTTTTTCTTTTCTCTTTTTGACAACTTACGTCGTTCGCGAGCCTCTGGGAGAAGCACTCGAGCTAGCATCATTTGTCTCCGCTCGGCTGCTTCTCTGGAACACAACTCTCGTCAATGAGCAGCAGCAAAAACAAAGAGAGACACAAAAAAAAAAAAAAAAACGATTTTTGAGAATGTAAGTTTACCTCTTTTGCTCCTCTTGAGCTTCCTGCTGCTCCGCGGATTGTTGCTGGACAAAGAACAACGCAAATCATACAAATGGCATCAGTAAATCTAGAAAACTCACGCCTCCCCCTCTCTGAGCCATTAACTCTTGCATCCTCTTCCTCTTGATCGCCTCCAGCTCCGGATCGTCCTGCAAATGAGCCATAAGAACCCTAGATTGGCAAAACCCAGAAACGATATCCCGGATTCATGGCCAATTCGCGCGAGAGAAAAGCTCACCATTGCTGCAAAACCACGAACAACTCCAACCCCGCTCCAACGCAGGAGTTTCTACAAGCTACCTAAGAAGTGAGCACTATTTAAGTAGAGCGCGCTAGAGCCGTCGGATGCATCTAGATGAACGCCCCAGATCACTTCTAGTTTCTAGTGACCAGATTTGCACAAACGTACTTGCACTTTCTTCACACAGAGCTTAGAAAGAAATAAAAACATCCAGGGATGGCGCTCGAATCCCCGGCTTGGGCGGGAGCTTCTTTGATCGCCTGCATTGCATGAAAGTAGAGAGCTTTTCTATGGGAAAATCTGTCGCGGATCACACAGATATTAGATTATATCGATGTGTGTGACGATCGATCAATCGAACTTGTAATGCTTGTCAACTGGCGAGTAGACTTCCCAGGTGCAACTCATGCCTTTGGGGAAGACGACCAGGTTCCCGGCGCCAAACTCCACAAAGTCGGAGGATCCCTCGGGGAAGACGCGGACTTTGCCTTTGAGGAGGTAGCACGTTTCTTCCGCGTCGTACGTCCAGGGCAGCTTGCTCGGAGGGCATCCCCATCTGGAAAACGAAACGGCAAGATCGTCGTATGTTTCTCAACCAGTAGATAGAAGAACAAGAACAAGAAGAACGGAAGAAGAACACGAGAAGAATGTTTTCAACTTGGATCGTTTAGGCGGAAGAGCACGGCAGATTAAACTCAGTTTGTGAGAACTTGCTGGAGCGAGAGACTATAGCGGAAACGCGCAGGAGAGAGTCTCTGGAGCTTGGTTTTTTTCTGGACACGACTGCAGGCTGTCCTGCAGAAAGAAGTAACAAGAGAATGAGAGTGCAGGAGATCGGTATAAGCTCTCGGTTTTCCAAGAAAGTTGGAAGAACCCCGGTGCCAGGGGAGAAAACACACAGCAGCAACAAACAGAGATGCACAAAATACGTTTTTGTTGTTTCATGTTGGCTCTCTGGTTAGTGTGATGCTTTTCAGACACTCCTACTGGCATTGAAATGGAATCCAAGCATTGAAAGGCGGAGAAGAAAAGAAAGTAGCTTACTTCGGCCACGACTTGACGCCCAGCTCCAGCAATCGCTGCTCGGATGGCTTCCGCTCGATCCGAATTCCCAGCTTCTCCTCCACCGCGCTTGTTTGCGCGCTGCTTTCCATCCAAAACGATCGCTCTCGCACACACACACGCGAACGCGAATAAAAAACGCTTGCAAATCCAAACGCACTCGAGACACAATCTTAGAAATGCGCTCTCCAAAGAATCAGGAAGTATCGCAGCGCAAGATCGAGCAAAGCAGCGAAGCCATAGCTCCCACCGCGAGGATCTTTTATTTTTGCAGCTACCCACAAACAACCTCCCTCCCTTGCGTCTCGTCTTTGACTAGGCGCCAACGCGAGCCGGAATCGACGCCTCCGGCGGGGCCACGTGTCACGCGCAGACACGCGTCCACCCCGCACTGGGGGCCACCCCACACCCGCCTGTGGCCGTAAAGCTTGTGGCATTTTCACGTTTATCACTGCCTAGATCCTTCCAGTATCTTATCCCATTGACCAGTCAAAGCCAGACCGTTAGTCAAAAGAAGGGGATTTTAACTTTATGGACGGGCGACCGTACAGGCCCTGACAGCCACAGGCACCAGTGCCGTGTTCGATTCCCATCCACTCTCTCCTTCCTTTCCAGAAATACGCGTATTTTCTCGTCTGGAAGAGCAAAAGAAAGAAAAAAGCCTTGAAAAAAGACGGGAGTGAGAGATGTAAGAGGTACCTCGCTACGGAGCTTACACACACCAAGCTTTTTTTTTTTGGTTGTTTCCAACTTCGTAGGATTGCGCTTGGAGCAATCACTCTTCAGTGGTGACCACTCATGATCAATCATTTTCCGGGTGATTGTTTTGAAATGACCACTGCGCGCACTGCTCCCCGAAAGCGTCCTGCGGAGTAAACAGTCCAACATGTGAGTGACCTCATAGTTTAAGAGCGCTGGGCCGAGAAAACAATCACTGAAAATGAGAATTCCTTCCAAAAGTACCTCCAGTGCGATTGCCGAGGCGAGAATTCATGCACAAACAAATCCCTCCCCAATGCAAAGCACCTGAGTTTCGTTTTGGTAACTTCCTGCTGGAAATCATTCCACGGGTTTTCTTATCCTTCGGCCACTAGTATTTTAACACCTTCAAACTGTTGACATAAGTGTACCTCGAGAAGATGACAAAAAGCTTGCGGTACCTGTGGAAAACACAAAAAGAAGTTACTAGTGATACTAGAAAACTAAGAGGAAGGGAAGGAAGGATTCACAAATATTTGCTTGCCTACCATATCCACTGGCTCCTGTGCTGTCGCATGGCTCTAGCGTTTGTCCACGGCTTCTGGCTATAAAAGCAGTGGTGCTTGGAAGGATCCCGTAGGTGCTGCTCTATTAGCGAAATGCATACATCCAGAGGACCGAGAAACTTTCGCAGCAAAGATGAACTTGCCTGCCAGGAAAAAAAGGGAAAAGAATAACAAAATAAAAAGTATTCAGCAAAGATGAAGAGGACCAAAGAGAAACGCTTACGAGCTGCCAAGCTTCCACAACAGGATCTTTGTTGGACTCTAGTTGCAGCAGCAAAGCACTGAAAAAGAAACAAAGAGCGGTCGTAGAAATTTGTTGGAAGGAGGCAGAATTTCCACCCACCAAATAGCATGATGCACTGAGCGATGGTTGGGGTGTCCCGAAATACCATACGAGTCAAAAGTAATAAGCTGAGAAAAAAACAAAGATAGTCGCACCTTTGAGAAAAGAATATGATTCGCTTACTGTTGTGATTTTGTGATCCATAATGTGCTGTTGTACAACACGCCTGATCAATTCTATATCCCAACGCTCCGCAAAACCATCCTAGTAAACCAAAAAAGCCCATCTCAGCAAACAAAACTCTTTCAGCAAATCAAAATCTTATGGTTCAATCGAGACTTACTTGAAGCTCCGGTACGTCCATCACTTCAACGTTTCCGAGCGGCACCTAGACAGAAATTCTATCAGCTCCCTTTCAAACATACAACAAGACATGGCAGCAGAAAAAATACATAAGAAAAGATGAAAAGAAGAACCTTACTTTGAGCACCAAACACGCAGCAAGAATTTCTTCCTTTCGCTGCCAGCCTCTGCCATCCACATTCCCTACAACACACACAAACCCGTCAAAGTATAGAAGATTTTCCAAGCCGCCAAACCTGAGGAGAGGCAAAGGACTCTAACATTATAAGCCCCAGTGGACGCCAAACCCAAAAGCGTGGGTCCAAAGAACCTGCCAAGGATCTCCCCATTAGCACAAATCCCCAGTATCAAACAATCTAGCGAGATCTTACATCGATTCGTCATCCGGATGAGCAATCACAAGCAAAACATTTCTTTTCCTAGCCGCATTGGTACCTTGGGGCAGCGAGCGCGGCGAAAAGAGATAGCCGGCGACCGGCAAGATCAGCAGCACTAGCAGCAGCACCGATCCGGACAAGATCGCCAGCGCCACGCCACCAGCAACGTCCAAGAGCGCCATACTCCTTGAAAACCCTAGAACTCTGTGATCTAAAGAAAAGCTTGCATTGATCAATTGGAGACAGGCTTGAAGAGGACTATGTCCACATTGTCATGCACTCCCTGCAAGAGGAGCTCTCCATCGTACGTAAGGAGCTTCCTCTTCTTGGCGGCCCTCAGGGTTCCAACCAGCGCCTCGAAGAGATTGGCACACCGATCGTCGTTGAAGAGGATTCCAAATTTCACCTGGGCATAGATCCAGAGGAATTCCAAGCTATAGCGAAATCAGAGACTTGAATGCTTACGACGGTGGATCCATCGGGCTGGACCGTTCCCAGGCGCTCGATCTCCAGTCGCAAGCGACCCACCTCTTCCTCCACATTCATCTCGCGAGAATGCTGGTGACCTAGGGAAAGTTTCCCTCTTTCCTTTTTGGAGCTCTGCAAGGCTATACTGGACTCAAAGTTGAAGTCACGTCGAAGTTGGCGACTTGTTCCTGAGCGAGAGTCGATTTCCACAATCTCATCCTTGATAGATATGTTTGTTCTTTTCTGGTTTCTCTGGCGATGTGCTCTCCTTGGACGAATTGGACGAATTAAAAGCACGCCAACAGCCATGAAAATTGATATCACCCAAGACATGAGAAAATCAGCCTACTCCACAAGAAACAAAAGAAAGAAGCGATCTTGCCATAAATAACGGTCTAAGATCTCGCCACGTCATTAAGCAGCCACTGTTAAAAGAGGGCAAAGATTGTGCCACGTCATGAGGGTTGAGATTTTCTCCTTCTTTTTGGAAAAAAAAATGTCTCGTCCGCGCCAAATGCTTACAAACACGCCATGGTTTCTTCGTTCGTGTGAAGAACCCTAGGAAAGAAGGGGCGCGCGCGCCCGCGCTGGATCTCTTCCTCGCTCTCCCTCAAGGTATGGCTCCCCAGATGCGGCTCCACTGCCGGTGCCAGAAATGCACGCTCGGGGGATTGATCCCGGAGGGCACGATCGTGTGCCTCAGCACATACAGGAACCACGAGAAGGGCAAGGGGGTGACGCGCAAGAAGACTCACAGGCTTCCTGCCAACAATGGCCAGGAGATTATCCACTGCAAGTGCCCGCTGTGCGCCATCGACTTTGGCGCCGCGGGGCGCCCCTTCACCACATCGGGATTGCTGCTGCACCTCCGCCGCAACCAGGCACGGATCGACTGCTCCAAGGAGAGGAGTGCTGCCAATCGTAGCAGCGATCCGCGCGCCACTGCCACTGCTGCTGCTGTTGCTCCAACGATTGCCGCGGCAAGACAAGATCATGATCTTGGTGATTCGCTCGACAAGCCCGACGAGCGGGAGATCAATCGGTTCGAGGAGAAGCGGTTGCTTCGTCCCAGTAGCCCAGAATCGTCCTGCGGGTCTAATTGATTTTTGCCTAGGTAGCTCAGTCCAGGCAAAAACTTTTGGCCTAGGCTAGAGTTTCTCTGTCCATTAGAGTGTTTATTGTCTCATAAGGTCTTGCTAGCTTTCTTTTGATATAAATAACAATTCTTTGTCCAGGATAGCCTCTGCTTATGGCGGTGGCCGCTTCTTCCCTCCCGTTCTCGTCGCACAGGGCACCCGGCGTAATGCCTCAATATTCTTGCAGCGCCAGTGCTCCAGTTCCATTTCCCGCCCCCCATCCTACATCGAAGTTTCTGGCGAAGATCTTGCTCTAGCAGTGGACAAAGATGAGCAGGAGCTAGGGCTTTCTCTCTAAACTCCACCGGCAATTGCTTCTTGAATCTGGATGAGTCGATCATGGTGGACATCAGCTCGCTGTCGAGCCAGAGGATGCTGCCGCGCAGGGATTGCTAAAGCAGCTGTCGGTATTCATGGTCTACGAGGCTGGGAGAAGATCATCCTCGCAATCGAGTGGCTCTTGTACAAAGTGGAGGTAGGTGGAGGTAAGTTCTTCTTTCACTAGTTCTTACTTCCTTGGCATTCTCTGTCTTCTATGATTCTTCAGACTTTTCATCGCTTTCATTGTTCTTGCTTACTTATGCTAAAGATTTCCTGGCGGGTTCGACTCTAGACCTTTTGAGAGTTAGTTTATTTAGCTAAAAGAGGTATACAAAATTGAATGATATATGTTATGATCGTCATTCAAGTTTCGCACTAAACTGGCCTATTAATAAATAAATCCACACATCACATGGCCGCATGAGCTATAAATTTTGTATGCAAAAAAAAAAAACCTCAAGCATGGATCACACGTCAAATAGTAAGCCCATAAAGAACTTTACAAGTTGAACTTGTTAATGGGATTGAAATAGCCGGACAAGATAGACAAAATAGTTAAGAAAGATGTAGTTTAGCATACGAGCTTTACCTCGCGCTCGGCAACTTAGGTAGTATATAAAGAGAGCACTAACACAGCATTGGTGTTGTTTGTTCCTGGATCAAATTCTTTGTTTCTGATCTCCGTTAGTAAGAAGGTAAGAAGGCTTCCACTAAGCTTGCTCACAAACTAATCCATATAGCACTGCAGGAGGAGGAACCTCCTTTTGTTCCCTATGTTCCTACTGCAGCAATAATTCCACTAGATGGTGGCAAGGATTCTCGTTACATTGCATTGAAGTGCGTGGTGTCCCCATCTACATTCCTGGCTCTCAGTTTCCAGGACAACACTCCTACCTCACCTTCTCCCCCTCACCAGGTGTTGTTCATCTTTGGGAAAAAGGTTGTCGCAGTGCGTTCCCAGAACGGAAGGTATTGGAACAGAAATGACCAAGGCTGGATAGTTGCTGATCGGGAGCAGACCCCAACGAGCAACGATAAGTCGTGCCAGTTTCGAGTCGTTCAAGTGAGGGAGAATGTTGTGGCACTCAAGTCCATGGTGGACGATGTGTACATTAATGTGTCGAAACTTGCCAGCAAGCAAGTCTGTGGCTACAAAGCTGTAGGAGGAAGTGCCAGCAGCGCATCTGAGATGGAACGATACATGACGCTGCTCAGTGACAATGGTAACTACGTGCGTGTTCAAGACACAAATGGTTGCAGCTCAACAGCAAAACTGCAAACCAAGGCACCATGTTCGAGGTAACCCAACGTGATCATTCAAACGGTTAAGGTTGGGAAGTTCTGGAGGGAGATTCGAGCCTGGAGAATGCCAAAAAAAGCAAGAGTTCTCACTTCGAGCCTGTGAAGATTGGAAGGAACGTTCTGGCTTTAAGATCGATCGAGAACAGAAGAGGCACACTGACTACTGGAAGGTCTCTCTAAACACAGCAGTTGCAAATCTGATCAGAGACCAGAGTGCTAGGTTTACTGTGAGCAAGCCAGTGAGAGCCTGGAACTTGACGAACATCAAGTACCTCCTTGAGCTAGCTGAGATGTCAGAAGCAAGTTCAAGACTGCCATGCGAGTGCTTGTGAACGTCCAGAGAATGGAAGAGACCTGGGGTCAGTGGTCAGTGGACCTATGGTGAGTTCCATATTACCCTCAATCCGTACTACTAAAACAGACAATGGAAAGAAGGTTGTAAAGGCTGTACAAGTCCAGACATCTTACACAGCCAAGGATGTGCCAGGATCAGGAACTAAGGTAATTGTTGTTTAGATTACCACTAACTGATAATTCATTGCTTTGGATTGTGATTATCCAGGTAAAGGTGGAAGTTCGGTGCCAAATGAAAGTGTAAAGTGCCTTTCACTTACATCGAGAGGAGTGCTTTGAAGGATGGAGTTGAGGTGCCTGCAGTTTACATAGCAATCAATTTGGAACCCAGCACCCATAGTTGCTTTTTTGAATGGTTTATCCAGTATGAGTTTCGTACAAATTTGTAGAATTTTGTATGTTTGTGCTAAAATTTAATGTATGCTCAATACATATGCAATATGCACCATATGATCAAATTTGGAAATCTAACAAATATTTTCATTCAATGGATGAAAATTTTCTATAGCCACATTAGTCTTTGAAATAGGCAAATTTTGACAATGCAAAGAACTAATGAAAACTTTTATTCCCCTCAAATAGTTTTCCCTCCAAAAAAAATATTGTTCTTGAAGGGTTAGAATTTTTTCCATGTTAGCAAACTTCAAAATTCTTGAGAAGCACAGTTTATGATCTTTTTGCTGCAAACTCCTCTTCTCTAAACTATATACTTGCTGTCATTTTCTAATGAGGCAAACTATGAAAGCATGGTAAGTTTTATAATCCTGAGAAATTACTTTAAATAGTAACACTAATGGAGAAACAACAATCTTAGATGGTATGCTATCATATTAAGGAAGTTGTACCTTTTATCTTTAATGTATCTTTACCTTTTTTCCTTATAACCCTCATTTGCATAAAAGAAAAGCCAAAACTTATAATGGAGATGGTTAGGGAAATTGTACTACTTTTCTTTTATATATCTTTTCTTTTTTCCCTTGTAACCATACCTCTCTTGCCATAACTCTTAGTTGTCATTTTTAGGTGGTATGCTATCTTGTGGTGGAAATATTGAGGAAGTTATAATCTCAATATAAAATGTAATTTCCTTAACCAACCAACAAAGTTGAATTCAAGATTAAATATAAACTTTTGATTTTTTAGGAAGTCACTTAACTTAGTAGTACTCAAACCCAATGATGCTTAACCACAAATATTCCAATATCTTTAACTAATTACATTCTTCAAGAAAAATACTTACTTCAATCAATATATAACCTTTAAGTTGGATTATTCATATCAATTATCTCCTCATTAATATTAATCAGGTCATCAACCTCTATTTGCACTATATGTGGACCCTCTTCCTACTCCTCCTCCCTGTTTTCATCCTCTTGCTTTGCCTATTTAAAAAAATCAAATTTATTATAACCTTTTAAACTACTTACCTAGTTTTGTCCTTTCCTAGTGAGTATGAATAATCAGTTTTGAAGCTTTTATTAATTTTTTTCTACATCTAATGCTTGTATCCTCTTTTCTATAGTATCTTGGAAAGTTTGCTAGTTGACATGATTACTAATTAATTCCCTCACATACCCCTAGCAATAGTAACTACTACTTTTTTATTCATCTTTTTGTAAA